TTTTTTAAATTCCCATAATTAAGACATGATAAATTTCAGAATTTAAATATTTTGTATTGTATGATGTATATATGTATTTTGTATATCAATGTTCACTTTAAGAACTTTATTTCCTTTTATTAACCAATCTACAAAATCGTAAAACCAAAAGTTCAATTTAACAATTTATTGCTCAAGTTTGTTACTTATTCAATTAAAACCTTATTTAATACTCCGATAAGTTTACTTAGCAATTTGTTTTTTTTTTATTCATAGAAAATAAAAAATAAATTTTTACGGAATTTAAACCTCAATTATGCTTTAAGTAAAACTAACCGCTGTGAAATATTTGATTATTGAATGCATAGGACACATTCTTAATTGATGGTTAAAATGGAGTAATAATTTGGAAGTGTGGAACGGATATTGCTCTTGGTTTTTTCACCGTGTTGTGGCACTTGGCACCGGCTGCACTTTCGATTCGATGGCCAAAACCACAAACAGAAAGGGGGCGAGATCGAGGGGAAAATGGGGCGGGGGCAGACAGGCAGCAGCTGCGACACGTTGCGCATTGTGATGGGGCCAAAAAAGGGGTGACTTGGCCAAGGATGAAGATGGTGATTGAGCTGAAATCAGAGGCGGAAGGTGGAAGGTGGAGGCGGAGGACACTGCGGACATTTCGAGAAATGCAGCCCCGAAGGCACGCGGCGAGAAATGGAAACCGGAAATGTTGTTACCTTCCCCCGGAAGAGAAGGGGGAGGGGAATGGGGGAGGGGCATTGGGCATCCCGGAAATGGGTGCAAATGCGACGAATCGTTATTTTCGAGAGAGTGTAGTGTGTGCTGTGTGTCTGATTTGCAACGCCGCAGGGAATCGAGTGAAACGGCGAGGAATGGGTCAAGAGATTGTACGCTGGTGGAGGTCAAAGTTGACTAAAAACGACGGCAGGAGGTGCGAACAGTCGGTGCCATGTGCTGCCCAGTGCACAATAATTTACATGCAATTAAATGCAAAATAAATGCAAAGAGATAAATGATTACCAATGGAATGGGATGGAAGCAGCCAGCGTTTGGGAATGGATATCCAAAGGGGAATAGAAAGTGAAATCGGTGAGAAACAATTATTGAGGTGGTTGAGGATTGGAATTATTATACACATATTGAAAATATCGAAATATATGTTGTAATGCATGTCATTGCATACTTTGGAAACGATCTTACATAAAATCTGAATACAAATGAAACAAATTAAAAAGTAGTTTTTACATTAATTAGAACGCTGTCCAAATAATCAGTTTAAAAATTTGTTTATTAGGATCTAAGCTAAAATAAAGCTAAACTTTAACTTATAAAATCAATTAAAAATGTTGAAAGGCAATTATTTAGTAATATTTGTATGTAATGTTATTTTTATACAGTTTTTTAACCAATTTAGTTAAATCTTTTTAATAGGTTTATAAAGCAGTTCGAGAACGTTTTCCCTTTAACAAAAAATTAATATCCGCCCTTTACCCTTTCCGCAGCCTTTAAGGGGCAATAAAATCGTTTAAATTTACGACATTTTCTGACCCAACCCCAAGGATACACACATATATTCCTCTGTAATTGAAAATGGAATGGCCACAAACACGGAAATTAAACCGTTAACTGTCTTTTGCGGTTTGCTAGCAGAACAAATCGAAAACCAAACCGCATTCATCAGTCTGTTGGCGAGTGGAAAAGTGCAAGTGAAATGCAATTGGGAAAAGGAGGACCCTTGTGCGGTGTATCTATCGTGTCCACGCCAAAAACACTCCCTTCTTGTATCCTTTATTCTACTACACTTAGAGAACAATCCTTAAGTTTGCTTAACGTCTTGTTTCAAGACCATTTGTGTTTTTACTTTGAAATCATAATAGTGAAATAGCATTAGTGTGTGGTTGAAAACAGTTAATATGTAGTTTAAAGTTTCTATGGTTTTTCCTGAAGCAAACTTTCGCAGCTGTAGATTTCGCACACTTTTCTTCCAGTTTTTGAGTCAATGAACTGGAGTGTGCATTTCTAGGCCTTCCTTGTTTCGCCAGACGATGGCTAAAAGCCTGCAAAAAGCCATGGCCAGCTTCGGAAATGTAAATGGGAATGCAAGTGCATCAGGAAATGGAAATGGCTGACGAAGAGCCATTGTGACAGGTGCACAACACAGTTGAGCGAGTACACACATCTACTTACGGGCACATCCACCTGTCTGGGTTTTTGGCCTTAAGCTAAGGCGTTTCTTTAAAATCAACTATATGAAATATTGCTAGAACCTCAGACATATGCATTATACATAAGATACTATTTAATATTATGCATAACCATAAATAACTTATCTGTCGTCAATTGCAAATGCCGTTACGCCCTTTTATTGTTCGCCACCCAAATGAAATTTGTCAATTCAAACCAATAAAATGCAGGCACTGAGACACACACATGCGAGTACAGTGCGGAGCAAAACTATAAGCTGGCAAGAAACTAAATTAGAACTTAGAGTTGATTCGCTTTTCTGGAAATATGTGAATTATTTAAGAATTGTAGAAAAATAAAATATAAAGTTTATAGTTTTTTGTAATAAAAAAATGTTAATAATTAACTTCCCGAATTAAACAGTTTCAGTTTACAACATTTAAAAAAAAAAAAAAAGGATATGGATTTTGTTGTGCACTTAATTGTGAATATAATAGTTATATTTGGGAATTTGTAAATATTTGTTTACAACTTGTATTTATAATGCGTTTACAAAGCTTTTTAAACTTCTGAAACGCAATGTATTCATATTGTATGGTACGTCCTCTATCTTTTAGCCAGCATCTTTGGCAACCGTTGTGCATTATATTTTCCTTGCATTGGCTTTCCTTTGCCTTTTCCTCTCGCCTTCTTATTAAGTTTTCCTTTTGTCCACTTTTGGTTGGCTTTCAGCCTGTTAAGGAACTTTTACGCTCGTTTTTGTCTGACCAACTCGATTTCAGCCCGTCTGTGTTTTCAATAAATTGCATTTCCTTGATGGTCAAGCCACGCCCCCTTTTTGTGATCCCCTTATTAAATCAGTATACACTGCATGATACTCGCCCTATACCTTCTTATTTTGGTAATGAAATCAAACGCAGATGTAGTAGCTGAAAAGTATGCTTTAAAAATCGTTGCAGCTAAAGCGAATAAACATCCTCGCCCCGTGAAAAAAAACCACCCGATTCATGGGTTTTCATCATCATCTTTCAACTGCTTATTGAAAAATTGTGCGCAACTCGCACAGAAATCATAAACAACGCCACAGGGTGCACAATTTCTCCCTTTTCCCTTTTGCAGTTGGCATTTATTGAAATCTGAAGAAGAAAAATTATATATCTATATAGTCAAAAGTATGAGTGCGGGTGTGTGTGTATATAATTGCATGCTTTTAGGGTTGCTGCGATTAAATTGAAAAGCAAATACAACAATGCCAGCGGAGAAGACACACGGGGAGAATCTGTGAATCGGAGAAAGCGAAAACCCGGAGACTAAGGCAAAACACTTAAGAACTTCTCCCCGAAATCGTTGTCGCTTTAATTCCCCTTGAATGGCCTCTGGTGGGCAGTGGGGAGGGGACGGGGCGAGCGGCTTGGAACTTTACAGAATTGATTTGAGAAAGATTATGAATGGAAATTATAATGAAATTGAGCATGAAAGAATTCACTCCACTGTATACTGTTATTTTTGAGCGTCCTTTAAAGCATTATTAAGCATATCTAAAGGTACAAAATAATTGGCGCCCTTAAGACCCTTTTACAATTTATTTAAAGCTTATATCAGTAGAATTTTTCAAAAAATATATAGAATGGTGTTAGGTTATATATAATAGTATATCCCTTATCCCATAGATTTTCAGAGAATTAAAACTAACCCATTTTTTTCAAAAATTTGTGTAAAATCGTATGACTTTTATCAGATAAAACTTGTTTATATTTAACTAAATATTAAAAAATCATTATTTAAAAAAGGGACTAATTAATATTGATTGAATAACTTAATTATTCTATTGTTTAAGCTTACCTGATAATTAATAATAATTAATTAAACTTTATTAAGGTAATTTATGATTATTTATGTTAACAAAATGTTAGTAACATTTCTTACCGAATTCTTGTAGAATTCTTATTTTTCTGAAGGACCTTTCTTGCGGCTCTGTGCGTGACTTTAAGTAAAGCGCTCATTATGAAAGTTTTCACAGGCGATTAACAAACCAGAGTTTTGGCCATGGTCTTGGCCACACTTGACCAGGTTTTGCCCGCTGAAGAGGCATTCCCCCCTCCCCCATTTTATATACCATCGCCGCGATTTGTCGCAGCGTCTGCAAAGTTTTTGCCGGGAACAAGAACTGGGAGGGGATGGCAAAAGAAAAATAAGAGCCAGAGGAAAGGCATTGTTGCAAGCCTCGAAGGAAAACAGAGGAGAGTAGGGACGATTTATCATCCATAAGTGGGAATTCATGGGCGTATTGTGAACGCAACATTTAACGCGCAGTCAGAGGAAAAAGACTCACTTAAGGACCTGAACCAGCTCCAAGCTATGCAAAGATAAAGCATAATATTTTTGATATATATCCCGGGATGGCGGTAAAATCTTAAGGTTGATGTATATGGCTTTTAGTTATGGATGGCCAAACGTTCCTCTTTGTTTTTTTAATTTTATTCGTGAGATGACCTATGGAAAGATAAAATAGTATATTTTATAAGTGTATCCCAGGGAGGATATTAAAAGGGTCATGCTTTTTAGTTATTAATGACCAAATGTTATACTTTGTTTTTAAACTTGATCCGTGGGAAGAGAAGAATACCTCTGATTTCTTATACTTGATTTCTTTATGCCGTTTGGGACAAACTTGTAAAAGATACTAAAATAAATGATATCCTAATGAACAGACAGACATCTTACTGAAATGAATAAAGAGCAAAGAGCTCTACTTTTTCTGTCTACATCGTAAGGATATTACAAATACTTACTCTTTGTTTTTTCTTCACTTTCAGACCTTCATTGTACGTGGTTCCAGCCAGCCCAACACGATGGCAGTTTCGGTGAGACTTCCCCAGGACACGGGTCCCTACATCGAGCACTATCTCATTCAGTCGCACGACAATGTCCTGAGTTTGGAGAGCTCGCGGTTTACGTTCGGCTCGATTCCCTCGCTGATTGCCCACTATGCCCAATGTTGCGATGAGTTGCCGGTGCAGCTGATGTTGCCACGTGTCCTGCGGGAGGCGAACAACCGGAAGAAGCTGAGCTCCTTGGCCCTGCTTGGCCAGGAGTTCTGGAGCTATGCCAGCAGTCCGGCCCTCTTGGGTCCTCCCACGCCGACGGTTGCTCCTTCGAAGGACCAACACCTGCTGGATGCCAAATCGCCACTATCGCTGACCGAAACCAGTGGCCTGGGCACGGCCACGTTTTTCAGCGATGCTCTGACCAAGCCACCGCCCACTGGGGCCCCGCCCCTTCCGGGAGGCGGCGGCAGTAGTCTATTCAGTCCCACCGGAAGTGGCCAATTGCTGGGCTTCTTCAGCCAGGCGGGTACTCCCTCGGACACCACAAACTCGAGCCTGAGCTCCTTCACCACCAGTGGCGGTCAGCACTTGCAGCTGCTGAGTCCCAATTCGGTAGATTCGGTTATTCTCACCATGTCGCCGGTGGACAATCCCGGTCATTACTTGCCGGGCTCTGGGTCCTTAGCTCCCCTGTGTCCCCTGGTGGGTGACCAACAGCTGAGCACCTTTAAGGTGGCCCAAACGGCACCGGAGGTGGATCAAGTGCGTCCACAGCGACCAAAGCCACCGAATACACTGAATCTCAAGCCACCGGCGCCACCATTGCGCTGGTCAAAGCCGCACTCCCCGGATCAGAATGGAGGTGGAAATGGAAATGCAAATGGAAACTTTACGGTTACCACCACGGTAACCTTTTCGATGGAGAACGGTGTGGGCGGCGTCGGCAGTGGAGCGGCGGGAAATGGTAATGGCAATGGGAAATTCGTGGAGGTCACCACACCGGCGGCCAACAATCCCTTCAATGCGCTGCTCAACGGCCAGGCCAACACGTTTCAGACATTCGCCAAGCGACTGTCGCCGGAGGGCGAGTGCAAGGACACGCTGTCCTCGCAGGGATCCTCCTCGAACGACAGTCGCTGGCCGCCGACTGGTCGCAAGTTGCTCACCTCCCCCTGACCCCAGTCACCCCCAGCGTGGGCGGAGGTAGCAGCAGCAGCGGGGGCAAATCCCGCAAGTCCAGGGCGGGCAAGGAGTCGCAGCACTACAAGGAGTCGGACATCCTCGAGAGCCCGCCGCTGCAGTACTGCGCCAGTGCGCTGAGCGACAAGATCAGCGACTACGAGGACGTCTGGTCGCACGATCCCAGCGACCGGGCCAGCCTCCTCACCAGCTTCCGCCCGGCACCGGATGCGGTGGGCGGCGTGATCAACCGACGGCCCGATCTGCTGGCCGAAACACGTAAGTTTCTGCAGACAGTCTAGATAGACAGTATAAATAGGTGGATTGCCACTCCAAGGGGTTTGAAATCACTTAAAAGGGGGCTTTCACTCAAGAAAATTAACTATTGTCCAAGGTACTTAACCCGAAAAGAAACATTTAATTCACATATGTTATTTGCTTTTTTTTGTGATAAACTAACTTTAGGAAATAATAGTAATATAATATAAATTATGATAAAAATTCTAGTAAAAAGTTTCCTTAAACATATTTTTTTATTTGTTGTTGAATTTTAGAACACCAACAAGTTTTGCATTGAACCTTACAATAAATATACCACACCATTGGTCAAGCTTTTGTCAACAATATTCTGTAGAAAGAAAGAACTCTTTGTAACTTTAAATTTTCGTGATCAATGGTGTATTTTGTATCCAAAAAATCAATGAATAACGTGTCATTGTGCTATTTCTTACTTTATATTTTTTTCGACACACTTTTAGCCACCTTTTAAGGTGTGTTCAAACCTCTAGAGTTGTATTAGGCATCCCTATACCTCTTCTATTCCAGTGATCAGTTTTCTAACATTCTTTTTTTCTAATCTCTCCCCCAGCGAGCACTCCCACACCGACGCAGTCGACGCACCTGGCGCCCTGCGAGGAGGAAACCACTGGCACGGCCAATGAAAGCTCGAGCCAGTCCCTGCTGCAGTTCTCCGGCGACGTTCCAGCCCGCTCCCGGGCGGGTCTGCTCCTGCCGAATCTCTCGGGACTGGCGCCACCAGCCGCCATGACCCAATCCCTGTCGGCGGCGGAGGACGATGGTGGCGATACCACGCCCACGGCCGAAGGACAAACGCCCGCAGCCAGTCGCAGCAAGCAGGGCAGCCCCTTCTACGCGGAACCGGCGGATGCACTGCGTCAGGCGGCCACCGCCATCCTGCGGCGCCAGCGTCGCGGCCAGGTGCTGCACGCCGGTCAAAGACACTCGGAGCCGCTCAAAGCGGGCTGCGTGGGATCCGGCAATGGGGCGCTGTTGCAGCCAAGCGAGCTGGAGAAACTGGCCGGCAGCCTGGACGAGCTAAAGCCCAAGCCGAAGGCTTCCCAGCTGCAGCAGCAGCAGTCACAGCCGCAACAGCCCACCAAGCTGGCTGGCAAACGCATCGATCCGTGGCCGCTGGACAGCAGCTGGGAGTTTATGGCCAAGCAGGATACGGGAAGCCATGCTGGCGGGGATTACGATGCGGCGGTGATCGACTGGCAGGAGAAGGAGAACTCGCTGGGCCGGGATAGTCGGGAGGGGCTGGGCAAGAAGCGCACGCTGACCATCCACCAGATCATTGCCAAGCGTTTGCCCGACCTCAATTTGCCGGAGCTCGTGCGCTGCTCAACGCCGCCGCAAGTGGCCGCCCTGCAGCCGCATGTCCTGGGACAGGATAAGGTCGGACTCGGGAGCGAGGGCAGCCAGAACGGCTGCAGGCTCTCCTCCTACGACAACGTCTTCTGCCAGAACTCTTTCGGGGGCATCGATTCGGCCCAGTCCGACGACGGCACCATTTTCTCGGAGCCCTGGGACTCCACATGGGACACCTTCATGCCCAACGATGGTAAGGAGCAGGGGGTTCCGAAATCTCTAACACAAAATGTAGCACAATAATATAACAAAATTTCCTTTCTTTAGATGCCACCATCAACTCGGACACCATCCATCTGTCCAAGTGCCGACCCGCTCTCTCCGAGGACGACACGATCATCGAGGAACTACAAAGCACCAAAGACGGCAGCAACAGCAGCTGCAACCAGGACACACTCAAGGCCAACAGGAATGGTGCTGGACACCACAAGCCCAACAATGCGGGCAATGGCAAGGCCAACAGTCGACCCAAAGTGGCTACCATTCTGCGGAACCCCAGCATGCGGGATCGTGAAGTTCTATGTAAGTAGTGCTTTTTGTGTTCTAAAAAGAGTAACTACATATTTATTTATATTACGAGAGTTCCATTTGACCACTATCAACGGTTATTGGTATATCCTTTCTTTTCTCTGGAAAAATAATCCTTACCAGCTCGATGTTTTATGCAATTATAATATGGAACGACTATATGCTTAGTATTATTTAATAAATGTGTCTAAAAAATTTCCAAAATTAGGTCTGTAAAAAAGTAAAATCCTATGTTATAGTTAAAGTTTTTAGAAATGTTTACAAAATGTCTTTCTTTGATATTCAGAAAGTCTATGCTAACTTACTAGCTATGGATAACCCATAGCAATCATTAAACAGATTGGATCAAATAATAAAGCTGCTAAGCTATATCTGCGATCGATACCATCAAGTAATCTGATTTCGTAGAAAATGATTTTGCTTGAATGAAGCATGGTAATAAAGAGATTGAAACCGGGTCGAAAGGGCTGCGATGTCCGCCAGCACCTGACAGCACTTTGCCTTCGGCGGTCGTCTCGTGTGCTTGGGAAGTGGAGTAATGCTGATGGGGATCACGCTCCACTGCAATCGGTTTTTATTGTTGCATCACAATCGCTCATCCGCCCCATGGTCGCCATGGCATACGAGTCGTTATCAGTTATCAGCGGCACACCGTCATCGATTGACGGATCGATTGAGTGCACGGAACTTCCAGTTTTCAAACCAAAGCAGGCATGCTATGAACTACATTTGTTTTGGTCAAGAAATCATAGTCAATGAATTAGATTGTTTTGAAACCTTACAGGCAAAAGGGGGTCACCAATATTAGTCATAGGCAGCCGCTTTTTATTGTAAACAATACACGCACGAATGGCAAAAATAAATACATAAAGCGATAAAGAACTAATTCTAAGGAAATGCTCCTTTTGTTTTCTTATTTTTTAAAAGCTGGAGAATTTAGTATTAGCAAAAAAATGTATTTGGAATATTCGCTTAAAGTATTATTTGAATTATACTAAATAATGCTTTTACATTTCAGAGATATTTCTCTTTTTAATTGCTTAAGCGTTTGAACTTTAAACTTTAATGACGAAGCATAATAGGTTGTAATTCGAGTTTGCTCGCTTTTAATAGTGTAAAATGTTATTATAAAATAACTTTGGTCTGTCGTCTGCGGTGGTTAAAACTGGATTGCAGCGACTTCGTCAGAAAAGTCGCAAAGCCTATCTGAAAAATAAAACAAGACTGCGCTTTTTGCCGCTGCTCTGCTGCCGTCGACTGAAGACTACAAAGCCTTGCCGAAACTTATCTGCTGCACAACGCCTTCCAGTCGAACCCAATTCCGATCTCAGCTAATCCCGCCCAGCAACCCACTCCATTATCCGCTGCCCACTGATTTCTACGTCGCAGTTGGCAGCTAAATGCTTACAATTTAGATATGTTTGCAAGGCAACAGAGAGCGAGAATGATATACTGAAAAAATAAGAACTAATTCTCAATTTACGAAGGTTTTCTGAGGAGGAGGCCTTAGAAAAATTATAGTAATTGTATTACACATTAATATATCGCGTACAATTGAATAGTTTAGGGGGACTCGGCTTACCTGGAATCAATAAGCACAATTCTTTAATTTAGACTTTGTATTTATTATAATTTGTATTTAATAAATATATATTATTCAAAGAAAGGTAGACTTATTTTTTAATTTAGAAAACCATTCTCGTTTCTAATCGAAGTTTTATGCCTTACAAATAATATAATAAATATATTACAGAATTTATGAAGACATTCCCTATTTATAAACATTTTATGGGAATTTGTTACCGCTTAAATGAATAACCACATTTCTTTGATTACGATTTTGTATTCATTGTAATTTGAATATGTTTTCAAGTACATACTTCTTAATTAAGGAAAGATGTCTCATATCTGGTGGTTAAATCAAAACAGTGGTGAAATACAAAATTCAAGAATTTTTCACAGAGTTGTTTTTAAGATACATTTTAATTAGTAATAACATACGCAAAGGATCCTAATTATAGATAAACATTTATTGGTCATGTCATATCCATTTTAACCATAAAGAGGATTACTAATATAAATGCTCCTAGTGGTAAAGGAAGTTTGTAATGTTATTATATCCTTGCTTTGAAAGCTCGAAAAATAAATTTAGAAACAACGAACATAGGAATGGAATTGAAAATATTTTCTCGCTATGCTTTACAAACTTTTGACCAGAACTATAACACCCTCTATCAGTGAGGGTATAAAACTGATCATACATTTGATTTAGGATGGGGGGGTGTACGTTACGGAGACAGACTTTGGAATGTAAACCGACGTAGCGACGCCGGCAGCGTTTTTATCAGCCAGCGCAAATTTCACCGCGCGGAGTTAGAGACTCTGAATGGGATGCGTAATTAGTAGATGAGTAAACACGAGTGTGTGCTTGCAGATTGGAATGCAGCTAAAGAGTGGGAGTCTCGACCTAGACAGTCTATTTTTGGGTCAGTGTAAGCAAAGTCAAACACCGACCAGCCAGACAACAAAGGCCATCTGATGAAAGCCAAACAAACGCCCTGCCCTGCTGCTATTTTAAAAACGCACTCGATTCGTTTTTAAAACGCACTCCCCTGATCATCATTAGATGATCGCCTCTGGTCCAGCCCAATTCACACGTGCTCGTTTTTCAGTCGGCTTGCCAACTGAATTGTTTGCCTGCGGGCATTGTAAATGTTAATGGGGGGTGTCTTCTGCTAATCTTCGCCACTGGTGGATTGATAAGCCAAATCTGGGGAAAATATCTGTAGGCCAACAAAGGGAATCGAGAGAAAAAAGCAGGTACATGCGGGTTCAGTGCTCCCTGTCCCAAGGTTGACTTTTCAAACTAAACTTTGAACGAGGAAGATCCCAGATCGCAGAACCCTCAACCCTAACCTGGAAACCTCCATTTACCGCGCGGAGGTTTTTCCGAATTGCGCATCAGAGCAACCAAGTCGCAGGCTAATGCTGATGCAATCCGGGCGTGCAATTGCACGAGAACCCGGACGGAGTGGCGGCTCCAGTTTCGAGCTAGCCAGCGTGTCTATTGATAAGACCGCCCAGAGATAGATGATAGATGATAGAGGATTGGAAAAGAAAAGCGATTCAAGCCAGCTTCCCCCAAGGACATGTTAAGGTTCCACTTTGAAATCAAACCGATAAAGTCAAATAATTTTGATAAAGATTTTGTACTCCCAGCCATTCATAACTATAAACTTAGAAACATTATACAGAGAAAATATCTTGACATACTTTCAAAAGGATTTCAAACTGCAATCTATTAAAACCACAGAGTTCAGAGCCCCGATAATCTGTATGAGTAATAGTCTGAGGTTTTAAAAAATGATTTTCTGGGGACAGACGAACATCTGGGATTTTGTTTTGTGTTCGCGATTGCAATGGGGTTTTCGACATGTTCAGTGATCGTTCAGAGGGCTGCACAAAGACCCCCTATGAATCAGCTCGAAGTGGTGATAAGTTTCGCGCGATTCAACAGGTAGTGGATTGTGATGTTACCTGCCACCATAGGCATGATTGGGAATGATTGGATTGGAATACCTAGCAATAGGCCAAACCCATCGAAGTCTGCGGTTGAGTCATTGGCTTGCGCAACTGTACCTGCGCGAATGGCCGGAAATTCCCGGAAAACTCGCGAAAAGGACATGCTACCTGAATGCGATTTCAAGACCTAAGATGGCCTGTTTAGCGGTTTAGGGAGGAGGAAAAGGTCACTCGAATGAGGCCGCCACTTGGCGAGTTGACACATTTAGCGGCGCCGTTGCTATCTTTGTTTTGCGGACTGCGACGTCGACTGCGATGTGATGCCGCCGCCCGTCGCCGCCGTCTTATAAACTAATGCGTATGAAGTTCAGAATTAGTTTTGCATTGGCCGCGTTTAGAGCAGCAGCCTGCGAGAGCAGAAAAGAACGAAACGAAAGCGAATCGAATCGAACAAAAGAGTGAACCGCCATCGCTTATCAATCAGCCGCAGCGTGTGCCGATGAGAAACCTGCGTTTCCGCCAATTCGTTTTAGCTGGCAAGAATCGCTACCGGATATACCATGAGTTGGTTCAGAAGATCGTCGCGTGCACAGTCCGCGAGCCACCTGCATTCCCCCGCCCAGAATCCGCAGCCGCAGGATATGTCCAAGTCGCTCAGCTGGCTGGACGAGCGGTGCATTGAGCGGCAGGAGCCGGAGGAGTTCTTCCACGATCCCGACCATGTGCGCCACTACAAGGAGGAGGCGCAGTTCCTGAGCATTATGTCCGAGTGGGAGATCATCGAGCATCCGCCGCAGGCCAATTACTTTTCGGCCGACTTTGAGGAGGAGCTGCTGCAGCACAGAACACAGCTGCCGGTCGTCGGTTCGCTGGAGGATATATCACCCAAGGAGCCCAAGGATGGCCAGGAGAGAGAAGCCAAGACCAAATCGAAGCCGAAGCCGAAACGCAAACGCAAGTTCCTGGAGCTGCTGTTCGTGGACAATATACAGAATGGGATTGCCCTGCCTGCTGGGGATGAGAACCAGCAGGTGGCTCCTTCCTCGCCGACAGCGGTGCTCTGCAAAAAGTCCAGGAAGTCGAGCAGCTCCACCAGCATCGCCTCGCCACCCATCACCTGTCCGCAGCAGGTGCTCAAAGACTGCCGCATCAATCGCAAGCAACTGAAGACTGAGGCTCTGGCCGGCTCCATCATGGGCGCCATCGGCAAGTGTCCCGCCGGAGAGGAGTCCATGCCCATGGGTGCGACTGGCAACGAGCGGGATCAGTGCCATCCTGGTGAGCTGAACACCTGTGACCACTACGACATCAAACAGTTCTTTCACCTGGACGAACAGGGCAACATCCTGCTGAGCATTGCGCACATTGTCGAGTGCCAGGCGCTGGGCCTGTGTCTCCAGGCCCAGAGTCGTCGTCTCTATCGACGCTATCGACGTGGCTGTGAGTGTGCCGACGAGGACTTTTGCCGGAGTCGCGGCTGCTGTTTCGTCCTGCGCCGTCTGCTGCGACTGCTGTGTGAATTAATAGTTGGTAAGGAGAGGGTCCTTAAAAGAGGGGATAGTGCTGAGAGTGTAGGACTTGATCTTGATTTGACTGTGGATTCGTATACCTTTTTGAACCGCCAAGTTATAGACTTGGCATGGAATATTTGTTTTCGAGTCAATACGTTCTTTTTAATCCATTTTGGACATATTCTAACCCATTTAATATCTCCAAGCTAACGCCTCCCCTTTCTCTGTTTACTTTCAGGTCACCCCCGCAACAAGATGAGCATCCAGAGCAGCGGCCCCGGCGACTCCCTGCGGGCCTACACCCTCCAGCTGGCCCAGGATCCCAGCTCCACGTTCGCCCGCAACATCGAGAACTTCATCTGCTGCACGAAGGAGTCGCGGGAGGCGGCGCCCCAGGTGGTGATGCGCAACATGCGCCAGTTCATGAGCGGCATGAAGAACTATCTGGTGAAGCACGGCGAGGGCAAGTTCCATGCCGAACTGGAGACGGCGAGGGCGCGTCTCAAGTCCGACGAGTTCCTCAATCTGGACGCCATGCTGGAGACGGTGATGCATCAGCTGGTGGTGCTGCCGCTGCGGGAGCACCTATACGGCATATTCGTGGATCACTATCAGCGCAGCGAGGACATTCAGCTGCTGGCGCAGAATGTGCGCTATGCCTGCGAACGGGAGGCGGCCGACTTTGGCATCCGGCCCACGGTGACGCCGCCATCGCAGGCCGCCCTGCGACTCATCGCCAACCTGCTGTGGCGCCTCCAGGAGGCCGAGCTGCCCCTGGACAAGCTGGAGCTCTTCCTGTGCGTCATCTCGACGGTGTTCGATGCCACCGGCTGTCCGCGTGGCCAGCAGCTGGGCGCCGACGACTTTCTGCCCGTGCTCGTCTACGTGGTGGCCAAGTGCGGATTCGTGGGCGCCGAGATCGAGGCGGAGTTCATGTGGGGCCTCCTGCAGCCGACCCTGCTGAACGGAGAGCCGGGCTACTACCTAACCGCCCTCTGCAGCGCCGTCCAGGTGCTCAAGACCTTCATGGCATCCGAGGGTGAGAGCGGCACCGGATCCCTGGACGTAAGTATCAGTCACAAATGAGCTGGGTTTCCGTTTCACTGCCCCACACGGGCATACACTTAAATTGCATAGATTATTAAAAGTATTTAAGAAACTTCTAGTAGAACAAACATTTGACAACGACTTGACGCTTGAAATTAGACTTACAACAAGAAAAGACTTAAATCCTAAAGTTTTTAATTTACTTAAGCATTTTTTTTATTTGGTTTTGTACCATTAAGATCAAAAGTTATCAGATTAAAAAAATACTATTTATGTTAGCACTTAAAACAATAAAATGAAATTTTATATTTTGAACTGAACAAAAAAATCGACAAGAAATTAAAGATTATTTAATTAAAATATTTCTGGTCTTTAAATTAGGAGGTTCTAAGAAAATCTTAATGCATCTTTTAAAATATATTTGGAAAGGCCCATATATACATTTCATATAAGAAGATAATGAAGAAGATATTTAGTAAGTTTCAGCAGTTGTACAGTGAAAAGAGCTACAGAAAATTAAAGATATTTTGAGTCAATCCCTATAAATAGGGAAAAAGGTTCATGATATTCAATAGGTTTGAAAAACCCAGATCAAGCTTTAGTAAATTAAAATAACTAAAGATATTTAATAGATATTTTGGGTCAATGCTATTAGGTATAGTTTCGGGAGTGGAACCGTGAAATCCAGCTTAAGCTCTAAGACCCCCAAAGTGCCACAGTGACTAACCATTCTTGTGCTTCCAGTGGCGCTCCAGCTGCCTGCCGGCCTGCTCCAGCGTGCTGCGCGTGATCATCCCCGACGAGTGCAACGGATCCCTGCAGACGAGGACGCTGCCGGTGCGACCACACACCACCACCCGCGAGGTGTGCCGCATCATCGCGCACAAGGCGCGCATCACGAACCCGCAGGACTACGCCCTCTTCAAGCTGGTCGACGGCGAGGAGACGCTGCTGACGGACGCCGAGTGTCCGCAGGATGCCCGACTGGCGGCCAAGGGGAAGCACTGTATGCTGGCCTACAAGCGGATCGATGCCAAGATCGCCTGGCCGACTGCCCAGCTGGCAGGACACTGATGCAGCTGCCCAAAATGGCCAAAATGCCCGGCATTTGACGACATACCAACCCGCCCTGCCCCTCTTGCTCACTAACCAAGCATATTTGATTAATAATTTATTATTATTACATTAAAATATACTTAGTAGCCTGTAAGTAAAGCTAATTAATGCTAATTAGAAAACATATAATGTGTACTAAACATCAGTATTGAGTTAAGTGTGTTTTTTTTTTTCCTTGGCCCTCGGGTCGAGCCCCTTTTTTTTTGCTAATAAATATACTATGCGAATAATACATATACACACATATACGATATATAAGCCACTAAGCGAGTAGAGATGCAAAATCTGCACAAACGGAGGAAGCGAGGAGTCATCTAAACGAATCTACACTCTAAACATATACGCAAACACGGGCATACCATGTGGTGATGGTATGGATCGTGTGTGCCACCCTGGAGACCAAAAGCACAGTTCAACAATCACAGCAACAATCAATCACTCATTCAATCAATCAATCTAGCGATCTTGCGGTCAGTGCATACCATCAAACTACACAAAAGGCATTTAGGTGTGAATGGGTTTCGCGTTTTTTTTAAGAAGCTATACCATATTATATTAAAATATAAACCATTACATTTTAATATTTATGTTCAACTAAACACAGCTATCAACCCTCGAGCTATACATAAATACATATTTTTTTGTATACTTTGTAAAATATGTGACACGTAATCCAAATAGCAAGCAAATAAATAACCAAAATAAAACCAAGGCTTTTTTAATACGTTCTTAGGGTTGAATATGTATATGTAAAGTTGGTAAGTACAGAAAAATAAAAAAAATCTTTTATACCGAAAGATACAAAAAAAACAACTTGATAAGATAGTTTTCATCATTTTTGACACGGAGGAATTAAAATAAGGAATGAAATAATAAGAAATCAAAATATTCAACACTCCAAAAAAAGACTTACAAAATTTTGATCTTTAATTTGGCATTAGTATCATTACCTTAAAAATAAGCATAACATATATATTTTAGGAAAATATAATGCGTTCTTAATGCTATGTAATTTTTTTTTGTTTTGGATTCATATTTGTTTTTTTGTTTTGAATATCAAATCTCCTAGCGTGGATACTTAATTGGATAATTTAATTGATTTTAATTAATTTTAATTAATTTAACATTATAAATTGGTCCGAGGTATTCCCATTAATACCCTAAAATAGCCTAGTTAGTCTTACAGAGTGTTTTAGTGCAATATACTTATAGGCTGACAATTTATAATCGAGTTTAATTAAAAGCCGCAGATGAAACTGGTGCCCAGAATAAAAATAAAGTCATGCTTCTGATCCCAGAATGATTCTCAGAATGGTGCATTTTTTTTTCTTTTTGCGGATTAGAAAGGTGGGGGCTATCGCCCGGGTTCACGACAAATCGACTCCCCAAAGTAACAATCGAGTGCCATCTGGGGACTTAATTGGCCCCACCACAGAGTACTCGAATCGAATCGAATCGAAACAAACGTCGCGACAGATAGCGATAATGGACGGTGATAGATGTGTAAAGCCGATTGTCGTTTGGCTCTCAAAATAAAATTATTGCCTGTATGCGGATTTATTGTCGCCAAGAATCGTTCCTCCATTGGTCTCTCCGAGCGAAAATAGCCGAATCAAATGTCGCGAGTTAATCTTGTGTATAGTAGAACTATTAACGCTGCTGCTCGCTTTGTTTTGATGGAAATTCAAATTCGGTGCGATAAGGACCACACATTCGCACGGATGACGACAGACGGACAAATAGTCAAACGGACAATCTAACACACGGACAATTAGACGGACGGACACGGACTGAACTTTAAATTTCGCAACGTGTGCAAAAAACGCACCGAAAACACCAACAAGTCTGCACAGGAAAAAACAAGCAATATAATATTTCCCTAAATCTGTTCTAAATATTCACAAATTTGATATTTTCTTTGCAAGTACTTAAAACACTAAACACATTAAACACTCTTAAGCATTCATAATATGAAACTCATTTTTATCTTACAAAAGTCAATCTGATTCTTTAAGAATGTAAGAAATCAGGAAAAGCTTAAAATATATATAATAAAGTTCTTATAGTATATAAAGATCGGCCTAGATAGGTAATTCGTGCATTATAGCTTTAATTTCAACACTAATTGAAATGAACTTTGAGCATGTTTAATTGCAAAGTTGCAATGTGCAAATATTTTATTGCAATCTTCGCCATCTTCTCACTACACAGATTGAGTTATTTATTTTCGGCGAACTGTGTTAAAACTTTTCCTTTGTTTTGCTATCGTGCAACAGTTGTAAATTGATACAGATTGGAGTTTGAGCAAGCCATAAATTTTTGGTTTAATTATAAATAGATAGCTGGCCTGCGATCGCCATCGCTGCTGGCCAGTCGCGATCGCAGCGGCTCTCGATTTTTGATACTTTGAGTGTGCTGTTATCAGTTATCAGCGCGACACAGCGACAGCAGCAGGAACGGCAACAAAAAGGTCCAATGACGCGATAATAAACAATTATTGCCACGCCACATGGTCCCCAAAAGCCCCATCGTCCGGGGCGAAGAAGAAGATCAAGGAGCCAAACATCGATGCACCGAAAGAAATGTGGATGGGTTTTCTTCTTTTTAAGGGGTCTTCGAAGCGCAAAGGTTTCCACTTTCCACCTCTCACTTGCTTAAACTTACATTTTGGTTATTGAACAACGATTAAATACGTTTATAAAGTATTGCAGCACATATAATTTAGCTTTTGCTTAGTTAAAATCAAATTTATTATCTAAAATGTTAATGTAAAGTCCTGAAAAACGTAAAGTAATTCTGGAGCTTATATTTGGTTTTTATAGATTCAATTCTTAAGCTTTAAGGCATAAATACAAACTGCAAATGATAATGGAATCGTTTTTAAGTTTATATATGATGCATATTGTATATTTATTTAGAAAACTATGTAACAATATTCCAGATTACATGATAAAATATTTTACGCGATTTCTTAAACTCGATCTTTGATATACAATCTAAAATGACACAGAGTAAAAAAATGAGTTTGTTAATGATGTATATTTAAATGAATATTGTTAATATACGCAGGTACGATAATATTTTTTGCTGTGGAGCAACAATTAACCACAGGGGGCGCAGAAGGAGCGGTGAGATGTTTTGATTAGACACTCCTAAGTACAGAAAGTCGGGCGGGCAATAAAAAACAAAAGATTGACGAGAGTAAATATATTGATTATTGCACGGATGAAGTGGGCTGTTCGATAACTTTTGCACAGGTCCGAAACCAACGAGCCTATAAACAATTGGCGATTGCTGGACTGGCTGTGGATGGTGGTGGAAAAGTGGGTTAAGGGGCGTCGATCGACGACAGTGTGTCATAAAATATATTCAAGTTCCGGCGCTCGTGCGATCGATCAACCGATTCGATCGCTCAACGGTGCAAACCTTGTGGCAGTTGAAAAGTTTAGGAACCACTATTTTGCGCGGCTATGATAATTTTGGCAAACAATCTAAGATAAAATGTTTCCAATATTCTATCCTAATGTTTACGAAAACTATTATAAGTCTATTTTTGGTCTATTTACTTTGTATGAAACGTGTTTTCTCTTTGATTTTTTAAAGGACCAATCAGTTTGTTTATTTATTCAAGTTATTTGTTCTTATATAACTCAAGAACACATGGATATGATATTATTGTTATTGATACCGGCACAACCAACCTAATATTTGTGTGAATAAACTTTAAGTTCAACTAATTAGAATTTTTTAGTTACTAAAGTAGATTGTAATTTTGGAAAGCAGGTCCGCGTACTAAGTTAAATATCATAAAAATATAATGAAGTTTTAATCTTTTACCAAAGATGAATCACAAACTTTTTCTAAATGTTATATAACCAACAGATTAACAACCAAAATGAGTTCCCCGGAATTTTTTGAATACCCAGATAGGAAAACCTCTGAGTAAAGGACCCGACAAGTGGGGCTCAATATTTATATTGTTATATTATAATGGTACAACGTTGTCCAAAGTGGAAGCCATAAACAATTTCAATAAAATAATTAATGTCAAATAAATGATAATGACAAAAGTATATGATTTTCTGAAGTAATACGAAATCGGAATGGTTTGGCTTTTCCCTCTGTCGATAAGCGCTTGGACCACCCACGCAAAACCGAGTACCTTTGGCCGAGTACCACAGATGATATTACCCCTGGTACTAACACCACCGACAAAATCACAAAAAAAACCAGGCTCGTGCGGGCAATCGCATTACGCATACGCCATGTCCGCAAAGCAGGTGCAGGTGCACACTGGGATAGCTATAGCCTTTCTTTGGCAGAATTTGATATAAAAATATATTTAGTTTTAATCTTTTAATTAGTTATTTTGTATATCAAATCGATAAGTTAAAACTTATTCAATTAAGCAAAATGCGGAAAGCTTTTAGGAGTTTTTTGCAATCAACAACGTTGTACATTCAGACATTCTTTAATTAACTTTGAATTATACTTTTACAGTTATCCCTGCTAAGTGCTATTACTTTGGCGAAGTTAAAACAAAGAGCCCTTATACATTTTTGTATGGCTGAAATCCGGAAAAATCAACTCGATTTCGGTTATTTTTATCAAAACCCTGGAAAATAATTGTCAAAAGCTGGAATGTCATACATCGCTAAAAATAATTCAGAAATCAGTTAAAAAAAATTATTTTTTCAAATCAATTTCGAATTTGTAGTTTAGGTCCCCAGCTGTAAAAAAAATCATTATTTTGGCTGTCCGTGTAATTTTGTCGAAGTTTGGTTGGTTTTAAAGAATTATGTGCGTATCGCTTTTTTTTATTTACTATGTTGGCTGTATATCATTTGGATCCATCCCTTGAGTTCACTATACACTAAGATACAACAAAAAATTAAATACCTAAATTTTAAAAACAACTACTTACAATATGACCTTAGCTTTTATATTTTAAGAGAAATTAACTAAAATTTGAGTGTATGCAATTTATTATGTGTAATTAAATGTAAAATAATATAAATAATATGAAATATTATATATTTTGGGTGTTCTCTGAGTGTAATACAGTTAAATGCCAAATAATATTAATAATATAAAATATTACTCATCCGCCATGATGGGTATATGGGCGGAAATGTGGGTCAAACGGCAAGCGATATTATATATTTGTATATTTAAATTATATTTTGGCCCACTGTGCGACGAGAGCGAGAGAAACCGCCCAGTTGGCGCAATCTGAGGCCCAGCCGAAGATCCAATCGTATGCCGCTGAAATAGTCGAATAGTCGCATAGTCGTATAGTCGTATAGTCGTATAGTCGGCTTGGCGATCTGAGAAGCAGCCGTCGCAATTCGCTTGGCATTCGCGCTGGGCCAGCTGAACAGTGCGAGCGTCAAGTCGCGACGGTTCCAATTTTATTCCGCTGACATCCACATCCACATCCACATCTACATCTGCTTTTGTTTTTGTTTGCGTTCGCGTTGCGTTGAGTTGAGTTATTTTTTTGTGTGTGAAAGAGCGCTCGATCGATCCGATCGATCGGCAGTGGTAAACAAAGCGATCGCGCCATCTTAGACCAGCAGCCATGGAGGTGTACACGTCGGACAGCTCGGACACGGATTCGCGGGAGCAGAAGACCCTGGACTTTGGGCGCATGAGCCTGGACCTGGTCACCTTGGAGGACCATTTGGCCTCGCCGCAGAAGGCGCTGCTCAAGTCCAGCGGCGACATTGAGACGATGCTGCTCAACCACAACCGGCTGGTGGGTCTGCCCCGCCTCCTGCTGCAGTTCGCCAATTTGAAGATCCTGGACCTCAGCTCCAATGCCATCACCACCTTGCCGGATGCCGTCTGCCAGCTGCCGCTGGTCACCCTGATTGCCAAGAACAACCTGCTGACCAACGCCTCGCTGCCCAAGTCGCTGCTCTCCAAGCAGGCCAATGCCACCAATGGTGGCTCCACGCTCAAGGAGCTCAACCTGAGCGGCAACCAGCTGACCCACTTCCCCGAACAGGTCACCGATCTGCGCCACCTCAAGTACCTCTATCTGGGGGGCAACAAGATCTCCAGCATCTCGAAGGACATCTGGAAGATGCAGAGGTATGTAGAGTGGGGTCTCTGCGGTCGATGGGTTCTCTGGCCTCTCGCCCGTTTGCTCAAGTGTTTTGTTTTGTCAAGAACCAAGCATTTCATTGTTCAAACCTAACGATTTTAATCGGGTATGTTGGCTTTGATTACCCGCTTGCCAATTAATAATTACCAATTTAGACCAACTTCTACACTCAGAAAACCAAATAGTCCTGAAAACTCCTAGCTTTGTGAAAATTATATATTAGAAAAAATTACTTAAAAAATGAGCCCGGGTCATTTTTGATGATATTTTAAAGTATTTTAAGTCAATTTGTTTTTTGGTGTAGGGTTTACAATTTATTAGCAAAAAACAAAATTTTGTTGATTTTATTTCATTACACAAAATTGTAATACAAAACTTATTTTTTTCCCCGATAACAAAAAATTAAACTGTAGACTAACAGACTAGTTAAAGGTAATGTCTGATTTCGACTTTTTATAAAAAAAAAACAAAGTTTTTATTAAAATAAATTATCCCAAAAGAAAAAGTGTCATTAACTTAGGGTCCGTCAAGGTCAAAAATAAAACTTAGACTGAACAACAATGGTCGAAACACAATAAAGGGCGATAACTCAAAACAAAATTAATTGTATAGATAACGAAAAATGAGCAAATTACTAGATTTATGAAAGGTTTTCATTTATAATTCTGTCGGCAGCTTTATCTGATTGATGGTTGGATTCACCCCTACATTGAAATCCTTCAGCAGGATTCCTGATACTTATATAGTCATAATCAGTATCAACAGCCGATCAGTCGATTAACAGTGATCTATAATATACTAGGGAACAACGATCTTTTGAACGGTTAACAAAATTGCAAAACACGCATTTTGATATTGCATAATTTAGTTAATAATATAATGCATCAGTATAAATATAAATAATCTCAATATATTCTTTCTTTAAACAGTTAAACAAATTCAAAAATATAATGCATAATTTGGCCAAAAGAATAATACATCAGAAGTAATATATTTAGATTTTGGGACGAAAAGCCTTTACTTTTATCGTTAGTATCGTTAGTACCATATACCACTCATAACAATGTTTTTACAATACATTCTACCAAATTGAAATACATGAATTTTTATATTACACAATTTAGCTAACACAACAACATATAAAGTTTAAGGGGAGAAAAAGGCTTTACTTCTTGAATAATATAACTATGTTTTTTTTGAATATTCGCCATTTCTCTTGAACCCTTATATCTAAAATATCCACCTTGATATTGCATAATTTAGATAGCGATTGTGCTATGATTAGTAGATATATATATTTAATTTGGGGGCAGTGAAAGTCTGTCTATCTCCTATTACTAAATTCAGAAGTTCCATACTATGGGCTTAGGGTCTTACCTAATTTGACCTAAAAGCAGCAAGGATGCGGAATTTCGCACTTTCTGCGAGTGTACTCCCCCCGTTCCCCTTGTCGCTTGACATTGGCCACTCGATGGGAAGGGGCGACGACTGGCGATCGCTGTTGCCATGTATAAAAGTCCAAGCACAGACGAGATCGTAATATATAGCCGGGGAGCTGATAACGCCGGTCTGCCACTTGTCCGGTGGTTGGGCGATCGGAGGGATGGGTTCGGTGGATCGGTGGATCGGCGGATCGGTCGGGTGGTGCTGGCGTCGTAAAAGCCAAATCTATCGAAAACACGTACTCGAATCGACCCAACCGATTTGGTCGGCTCATAAAGATACGACCGTGTATTAATACAATAATAAACAATAAGCAAAAATGGCACAAATAGCAACAAAATCGCACAGAAAAATTCCAAATATCAGTTGAAAACAAATTAAACAATAAAGAACTCTATAGTCGAGTGCCTTGACAATAAGATACCCTACAGAAATTCTCATTACTTAATTTTATAACATTTTTGGTTGCAAATTTAAATGCATTCTTTTGTTACATATTATACACCGTGATATTCCTAAGATTTTGAGATATTTTACATTACATTTTTCAATAAGTCCAGTATACCCTAAACCTCTAAGCACGCCAAAAAAATTTAAATAGGCATTAGTTATCAGAGGGGCTGGACTTTGCAACGTCTTTGCGGAATTGATTGTTTCGCACTTAAGACCCCGGGAATGCGAAGAGGACCCTAGGGCCAGAAGGCCATAAGCCATGACATAAGTAGTGATTCACTAGTAAAGTATATATATTTATAGTCAGGGCGAAATATACTACTAACAACAGAGGAAGCTAACTTCGGCAAGCCGAAGTTTATATACCCTTGCAGTTATTACAAATCGACTACATTTCGATTTCTGTGCCTATATTACTAAAAACAATGAAGCTGTGTCGACTTTGCGCTGCATTTTGCCATCGTTTCTATGGCAGCTGTATGATATTGTTGTCCGATTGTAATTTAATTAAAACCGTAATTCCATAAAATTTAAATATTACTAGATCGACTCTCCTGGTGATGCTGATCAAAAATATATATACTTTATTGGGTCGGAAATGTCTCCTTCACTGCGTTGCACACTTTTGACTGAAATTATAATACCCTCTGCAAGGGTATAAAAATGAATAACGCAAAAGTTGAACTCTTTTCCAAAAAAATACAATTCAACTTCTATACATCCAATTTAAAATTAATAAAAATTCTTCTTTTTAAATCCTATTCACTTTTAAAATGGATATTGTAGGATATTAATTATTCAATTCAATTAAAACTGCTATTAGTTGTTATAAAAAATGAAGACATGAACAGGGATCACATCGAGAAAATGGTTTATAAATTTCAAAATGGGTTTAAATGTAATATAATATATTGAATATTATTTGTATAAAAGTAGATACATTTACCTCGACTAGGAATTGTTTTCTGGGAATATTTTGTACTTAGCCTAACCTTAAAATGAAATCTGGTTTTATTTTTATATTTAGATTTAATAAAACTGTATAATATTTTTGGCTACGCCCAAGGTTGTTTACGTCAAATGAATCTGTAATCTGTAATCCTTCTTGCAGTCTGCACGTTCTATCCCTGGGTGGTAATCTGATCAGCGAAGTGCCCGAGGCGGTGGGCTCCCTGAACCAACTGCAGGCCCTAGTCCTCTGCGACAACCTGATCGAGATCCTGCCAACGAGCATCGCCCGACTGAAGAACCTCAAGTCGCTCTTGCTCCACAAGAACCGACTGCGACATCTTCCCAAGGACATCGTCGCACTGAAGAACCTGACGGAGGTAAGACCCATATTCCTCAAATACAAAATCCAAGTCAATCTATATCAAATTGGAAAGAAGAAACAAATTTATAAATTATACCATAAACTGCAAATATAGAATTATATAGTCAAGTACAACACACATACCTAATGGTATTCCACTTTAAATGATACGTTATCCGAAACTTGTAACAGGATCGACTATTCATTTAAGTAGGAAAAATCGCTTCTTGTCTGCTTAAATATTAAATAAATAGTGTAGAAAATATAAATTTGTTATTTTGTATATATCGCATTTAAGTGAAGTCAGCCAATCATATACATTCATTCTTTCCTTTTTTTTGTTGAGCTGACCCACTTTATGATTGTACCATTTCGTGTAGTTCCTTGCCTTACTAATCCTGTGCTCTGATCTTGCTCGTCCACAGCTGAGTCTGCGCGACAATCCGCTGGTGGTGCGCTTCGTCCAGGACATGGCCCTGAAGCCGCCCACCCTGCTGGAGCTGGCCGGGCGGATGGTGAAGGCCAGTGGGCAGCGACCAGGACCCTACGACATCCCGAGGACACTGGCCGAGTATCTGAACAGTGCCAACTGCTGCGTGAACCCCAACTGCAGGGGCGTCTTCTTCGACAACCGGGTGGAGCACATCAAGTTCGTGGACTTCTGCGGGAAGTACCGGGTGCCACTGCTGCAGTACCTCTGCTCCTCCAAGTGCATCGAGCCGGAGCAGCCGGCGCGCGGCTCATCCGTTCCGGCGGCTAGTGCCAGCAGCGGCTTCATGATGCGCAAGGTGCTGCTGGGCTAGCCGCAATCCGGCTCGGCCCGGCCCGGCCCGGTCCGGTCCGGCCCACTCCGGCTCCTGGCCGTATCATCCGGGAGCGCGATCGGAGCGCCGACCGATCCGGTATCGGATTTGGAGAGGACAGGGACACGAAATCGATATCGGATTCGGAAACGGAATCGGAAACGGAAACGGGATTTGGGAGCGGAACGGAACGGAACGGAAACGGTAGTCGAAAACGGTAGCGGAAATGGCGGAAGCGGAAGTGAGAGTGGAAATGGCGGATCCACGCGTTCCGAGGAGCCGAGGAGTCCGGCAGCCACGGGGCCGCTCGACGGGAATACCCCCATTGGCTTCACACACGTTATCAAATCCAATTTGAACTAGTTTGCTAAGTGATTACGACCTGTTTGTTTGCTCGCCTTTCTGTTTGTTTGTTTGCTTGTTGTTATCCACACTTACACAATCTATACCAAAGAAACGCGGCTGGCTTTCACTGGGCAAAAGGATTCGAGTGGCTTATGGAGCTTATGAACCAAAGGTTGCAGTTGTTGATTACAAACCCTACATACGGTCATTAGGGAGGTACACATTTGTGGGAGATACATATTTCTTGGTATAACCAAATGACTCATTGACTTTAAAGTTTATCACTCATACGTAGTGTTGCCTCTGAATAGGTTTAGGTCTATTTAAACGAGGTCAATAAGATTGGAAATGAAAGAGCCATTTTTTATGGACCCTTTCAAAACTCCGAAAATGTGTTGATTACCAACATCATATTAAACTATCGTTTTTTTTTTGACCACCCTAAAGTACACCTACATTCATAAATATCTAGTTTTCCGACCCTACCTTTAGCTACAGTGAATAGATATTAGCAAGTATTTTCGACGCCTTTTATGCTTTGCAAAAATTAAACCTAAAGTATCCTGCACAGTAAGTTGCAGCAAAACCTGTGCTACCAACATTTAATAAAACCCAAGATTTCATTAATTTGTTTACACTTAGTCCGATTGTTAATCTACACAAACAGTACATTACTGTGATCCCTAATCATGCCTTACATTAAATGATCATTGTAAAAACCAAGTTTGTTCTTATTTAACCCAATAGTTCCTATTAACGGAAACCCCTCAAAACATAGGATTGTGACATGTGATCTTATTAAAGTTTGTCAAATTCAATGTAATTAATCTATTAATCTATTGATTTGTCAGTACCAATTTAAAAAACGGCAAGCCTATTGGAATATCCTGCAAATGGATATCCCCTTATCGCTGTATTTCAATTGTTGAAGACACGACTTTCCCCCAGTGCACCTTTAACGGATAAACGAAGCAAATACGTTGTATGGATAGTGTTTATTGTGTTTAATCGCTCACATTTGGCCGAATGCCGCGCCATGGACAGCGTCTATTACTAGATTATTTAAAAAAAAATCGGAGAACAGAGGCGGGGACAGAGATACATGGACTTGTCACTCGTCAGGGGCTATAAAAAATAAATACAAAACTAGGGGCGGCCAACGAAAGGGTCACAGATGATGGAACTCGGAACATTCAACAGATTCTAGTTCTTGAGCTTGTCTGGCATGCGACACTCGGCTACGAAGAGTGAGCTGCCACCCCGCCTGATTAACGCGGATCGCACGGATCACTCGGATTCTTTTCTAGAGGCAGTGCGGGGCAGGATTACGTCTTCATTATCTGCGGAATGGGGCGCTTGTCTTACAATTCTAATTATATGGAGTAGTAGTTGAATGTAGTTGTATTCGGCGCTTGGTTGGGCACAGTTTACTGGTCCATCACCTCCTGGCTGGTGTCGTCGACCTCCATTGCGGCCGGTTCGTCCTTGGCGGCCTCTTCGGTGGCCATTTCGGCGGCGGGGCCGCTTTCGGCCATGACCACCTCCTCGACGGCGGCCGATGGCGAAGCGCGTGCCTCCTCCTCGGCGGGGGTGTCCTCCATGGGCTGGTCGTTGAGGGCCAGAGCCGGCGGAGTGACGACGGCCAAGGGCGAAGCCTGCGAATCATCGGCTGCCTCGGCGGGCGGCGTCTCGGCAGCCGAATCGGCGGCGCCCAATGGAGATTGTGGTGTGGTGGCGGCGCCCAGTTCTTCGACGGCGGGGCTGGATGCCTCCCCATCCTGCGACTCCTCGGCTGGTTCCTTGACTGCCTCAGCGGCAGTGGTGTCGTCCTCTTTCTTTTTCTTATCGGTCTCTGCAGCCGGCTCGGCAGCCTCCTTTTTCTCAGGGAGCGGCTTCTTGGCCGGCTCGGTTTCAGTCTTTTCGGGTTGGCTCTCCTTGGTCTCGGCCTCTGGCTTGGCCTCAGACTTGGTCTTCGGTTTTGATTCGGCAGGAGCTGCCTTCTCGTCGGCGGGCTTCTCTGCTGGTGCAGGCTCAGTCTCGGCAGCTTCCTTCTCTTCCTGCTTCTCTGTTGCAACTGAAGCAGGCTTTTCCTCCTCCTTCTCCTTTTCTGCCTTGGCTTTGGCAGGCTCCTCCTTTTCGCCCTCGGCTGGTGGTGTGGCTTTATCGTCAGCCGGTTTCTCGTCTGGCTGTTCCACCTTTTTGTCCGACTTATCGGCCTTCTCGGTCTTCTGCTTCTTTACGATCTCTTCCTGTGGTTCGGCCGCCTCTTTTTTGTTCTCCTCTGCTTTCTCCTTGGCAACTGGTTCTTTCTCGGCGTCGGGAGATTTGCTTTGCAGGGGGTCCTCAACCTCTTCATCGGCAGAGGCTGGGGATCGCTCCTCCTGCTCGCTATCCTTCTTGCTGCCGTTTACAGCCTGCTTGGTGGTCTTGGCCTCTTGTTCAGCCTCCTCCACTTCCTCGTCGGGCTCTTCGATCTCGGCAGCCTCTTGTGGGGAATCAGTCTCATCGTTGTCACTCTTCTCCTCCTTCTCCTTGTCCTTTTTGTCCTTGGCGGCCACATCCGCTTCCGGTTCGGCGGGCACGTCATCGGCCGCCTCCGAGCGCTCTTCGCCCTCGATCTCCAGCTTGGCCTTCTTGGCCTTGGGCTGCACATTGTCGTCCGATCGCGGGCAGCTGGCCTTCTGCGCACCGCCTGCCGAAACGGAGCTAGGGGCAGAACCCTCCTCGGCGTTGCCGTTGTTGAACAGGGCCTCGTTCTCCATCTCAATGTCGATGTTGACTTCCAGGGAGAGATCGCCGTTGACCACGGAGTCCAGAGAGTCGCCATTCTCGCTTTCGGTGCGTCTGCGTCCCGGATCAATGGTGCTGACCACTGCAAAGGGTATCTCATTAAGTAACCTCACTCTATGTTTCTGGGTACATTTACTTACCAAGAATGTTCTTCTCCAGAGCACGCATGAACTTGTCGATGCGCGAGTACTGCTTGCGGGGATCGATAAGCAACTCGCACAGACGCTGCACGGTGAAAGGAGCTGCATTGAAGAGGTCTAGACGCTCGAGCAGCGATGACTTCATGGTCTCATAGTTGAATGGATCCACATTCGGATAGTTGGGAATCTCTATATGATGGAAACGACAAGGTGTTATCAGGTGGCTTAAAGGATTTTTGTCCTGTTCTCAGTTTGTAAACTGCAGAAAAAAATCAACAGAATTAATTTGTTTGAAAATTCTCAATTTGCATTCGAATTGGTTGTAAGAAACCAGTTATTATTGTACTGACTCAGATTAACTCTTAACAATAAATGCTATCATAAAAAGGGGTTGTTATGCGCAGCAGGTGAGATAGTATGATACATGACAAGAGTTGTAAGGCGAAAGAAATTAATATCAGAACTCAAAAGGACGTTGAGAAATGTGTCACTTAGCGCCTGGTAACTCACCCTCTACACGAGGCGAATCCTCGTTGAAGTGCTTAATCACGTTGAGCAGCTTTTCGCGGAACAGATACTTCAGGCTGGTCCACTTGAAGATGGTATCGCCGGTTTTGGCCACATACTGCAAATAATCCTCCAACTCCTTGGGTATCTCCTTTTGCTTCAGGCGCGTGAAGCGCTCCAGGATCTGCAGGATCTCGTCGCTGTTCTCCATGGTGACCATTTAGGCAATCGTTGAGCGGGGAAAAACTGTGGAAAAGCGGTAAAAAAAACGGAGAGGAGAGATCAAAAACCGGCCGGCAAAGTGAGAAAAAAAATGTTCTCCTCGAGGTAGACACACAAAAAAGCGAGAAAACGAGAGAGAACTGAGAAATTTCGCCAACTTTGTGCAATTGTGTGCAGGTATGCGCATGAAGCATCTTGCATCTGCCAGCTCTATCTCTCTCTTTCTCACTCTTTTGGTGGAGGATTCGCCAGGAAAACTAGTTATGCTGCACACACACACAACATTCGCTCAAATTTGCAAATTCAAAAAGCTGATTGTGTTTGTGTGTGTTAACGGCTGCAACTCTTGTTGCCAGGCCAATGGTGTTGTAGTTGTTGTAACTGTCTGCTCCAGACGGCCAAAAAAAGGGAACACAAAATTTGCGACGCCTTTTGCGAATTTCCCTGGCGAACCGGCCAGTCTAAGTATTCGCAATTCGCAACTGGCCTTTTAGCCAATTCCAAGGAGCAGTTAATCCCCTTACACTTTCCACTCACCTGCACTAGCTTCGCTACTGCTTTCTATCACAACTACGCCTTTTAATAGCACTTTAATCCAGGTGACAATTGGATCACACAACTTCGTTTGGATTTTATTTGCAAAGTGGTAGACTGACCGTTCGACGCCGCCTGCGATGTGCGCCAGTCGATTGCCGGTGCCGTTAGTGGTGCTATCGATAGTTAAAGAGTGACCGACTGGCGGTTAATATCGAATGGGAAAAAATTTAAAAATCAAAAGAGAAAGTTATTCCCCTAATTTCGTTTTTTATATTGAAATCAAAAACGTGTTTGTAAGACACATTCCACAACTAAATAGGAGAATTAAATAATAGAATAAAGAATAATATTGTGTCCTGATAAGCGAGTTAATTTATAAGTTGTATAAAATAAGAAATTAAATAAATGTATAATTATATATGCGTATAAAATATGGGAGAATTAAATAATAGAATAAAGAATAATATTGTGTCCTGATAAGCGCGTTAATTTATAAGTTGTATAAAATAAGACATTAAATAAATGTATAATTATATATGGGTATCAAGCGGAATCAAGCGAAAACCCAGATTTTATTATTTTATAAATATTACTTAACTCGGAGTAAATTGATATGTTATATGTCTTGCTATGTTATAACTTTGATGTTTATAATTTTATTTTCATTTTTTTACACGAGCTATATAATATAGTAGAGGTCCCTTTCTGACTTATATACTACCTGCAACAGAAAGAAGAAAATATAGTACCTTAAACAAGGGTATAAAAATGACAAAACTCGAACCAAAATTTTACATAATTAAACCACAATCATTTAGAAATAAGCCATTTAGAAATCGGAGGTCTGTAAGAAAAGTTATGAGCATCGAAGTGCAGAGTTTTGGCCACTTTTCTGCAAAACCATTTTCCGAAAATTTGGAAAGGGGTTAATAAAAATGACGAAAAATCTAACCCAAACTTCAAACCAATACTTAAATCACTACAGTGCCTCACAAAATCCCCTTTTATAAAGTTGTCAAGTTTTGTAGTTTAATTATTGTGTATACTTATATGGCAAACAATTTTATGCACCAAATTCTAATGCGAAACTAAAAAGATAAAACAAAGAATAAAACTTAAATTTGGTAAGTGCTATGTAAGGTTACCAGTTAAAATTTGTTTGATAAGGCAAACATATCGTCCATTATGTTATTAAATGTAATTTTTAAATCAAAATTAAAAAAACTTTTTATTTCAATCAAACAAAGTATAATTCTCTGATTTTAATTTTGACATACCAATTATTCAAAGCTTTTTTAAATATTATAAGGAAATACCTTTCAGCTGATATTATCGTAAGTCCCTATTTGCTCAATAACTGTCATTAGAACAACCTACATTACAAATTTCCGTGGAATTGCTAAAAATGTTATACGAATATTCCAAATTTTCAGTACTTCTGTCCGTAACGTAACCCACAGACAAACAGGACCACACAACCCGTTGGCGGACGAGTCATGGGCAAGGACTTCTACAAGATCCTGGGGATCGGTCGCGCTGCCAGCGAGGAGGAGATCAAGAAGGCGTACCGCAAGCTGGCGCTGCGCTTCCATCCGGACAAGAACAAACACTCCCAGGCCGAGGAGCGCTTCAAGGAGGTGGCCGAGGCGTACGAGATCCTGTCGGACAAGAGGAAGCGCGACCTGTATGACCAGCTGGGCGAGGAGGGTCTCCGACGGGGCGCGGCGGACCAGCGCAGCGATCCCAGTGCCACACACAGAGGAATGGCTGGCGGGGGCTTCAGCTATCAGTTCCATGGCGATCCGCGCGCCACCTTTGCCCAGTTCTTTGGCTCCAGTGATCCGTTCACCATGTTCTTCGAGGACATGGAGCACATCTTCATGTCCGACGGCGACTTCACGCTGGGTCGTTGGTTGGGCGGGTCGGGATTGGGATCGGGATCTGAGGGAGGAAGTCTCGCGCAGGATCCTCCCATCGAGCACGAGCTGCACGTTGCACTCGAGGACATCGCCAACGGATGCACTAAGCGCATGAAGGTCTCCTGGCTCGCGATCTCGTCCAGCGGCGAGCCGATCCGGGAACACAAGGTGCTTAACATCGATATCCGACCGGGCTGGAAGGCCGGCACCAAGATCACCTTCCGCAGGGAGGGCGAAAAGCTGCCTAACCGCGTGCCCGCCGACATCGTGTTCACGATCCGGGACAAGCCGCATCCGATCTTCCGCCGGGAGGGCAGTGACCTTCTCTACAAGGCGCACATCTCGCTGAAGCAGGCGCTGTGCGGCACACACCTGGCCGTGCCCACGCTCCAGAGCGACCAGCTGGGGCTCTGCACCCAGGGCGAGGTGATCAAGCCGCACTCAACGCGCCGCTTCCCGGGCTATGGACTGCCCTGCCCCAAGGACAGCTCGCGTCGCGGTGCCATCGTCGTCAGCTTCTCCATCCAGTTCCCGGACTCCATGTCCACGCAGCTCACATCCTCGCTGGCCAGCCTCCTGCCCAACTGATCCGTCCACAGCCACGTCGCAATACGTGACCACAACATTGACAGTACAAGTGTATAGTAAATTATCTAATGGGGAGCTGACGGTGTTTCCATACTCTACGGATTCATGGGAGGGGCCTGGGTCGCCTAATAGCCTAGAAACCGGATGGGAATCTCTAGAACAAAGTCCATTCATGAATCAGTGCCGTACAGTTAAGTTTATGTATAATGGTTAAACACATTTGTGTGGGATCTGGATTAAACATCGGTGGATCCCGGCTTAAACTGGGGATTGTGCGAGCGCGCCATCTTGGCGCGCAGCCACTCGTCCGCGTGCCGCTGCTTGATGTGGACGTACATGTTGGAGCGGGAGCGGCACTCCTTTGGACAGTGCGGGCAGTTGTATAGCTGCAGGCCCGTGTGAATGGCCATGTGCTCGTCCAGATTTCGCTGCTGCTTGAAGCTCTTCTCGCAGAACGTGCACTGCAGGTTGGTGGTCAGCTTGTGGGCGTACTTCACGTGGCCCCGGAGCGCTGTGCGCGAGGTGCAGGTCTTGCCGCAGTGCGGGCACACGGTGTCCGTGCTGTCGTGCGTGAAGCGGTGTAGCCGCAGGCTGTGCTCGTTCTTTAGCCACACCCCACACTCCGGGCACTCCACCGCCGGCGCCACCACGCCCTGGTGCTCCAGCAAATGGCGCTCGAAGGAGGGTTTGAACTTGAACTTCTTGCCGCAGATGTCGCACACGTGTCGGTGCAGATCCTCATGGATGGATTGGATGTGCCGCCGCAGCCTGTGTATATTGGCGAAGCTGTTACAGAAATTGAGTTTAATTAAATTGCTTTAAAGGATAAATAAAGTAGAGAAGAATAGATGAGCGCTCTATCATAATTGATTCAATATAATAATTACGTTTAAAATGTAGCAATAGCTATATTAATAATAATAATTAAGTAAAATATTGGATATTAGCGATTTAGGATATGTTAATTTGACAGCTATCTCTCTCATTTATGTGTAAGTGTAAAACATTTTAGGTATATAAAGAACATATCCTGAAGTTCCAAAAGTCACTCGTGATAAAAATCGTAAGCGAATTCATAACGTCTGCCTTTAAATTAATCCCAATTTATAAGCCATCAATTTATCATCTTATCAGGAGATATTTTGTAGGAATTAAATTTAAAAAAATGGAGAATATCGCTTCTTTGATTATAGATAAAGTTTTATCTTATCAGAGTACTTTAACAAATGTAAAATTAATCGAAGAGCCTTCGCAAAATGCGGACTAATTAGTTTTTGGACTTCACTGGTGGTACAAAAAAAGCTTTGTTAATCGTCTACTGGAGAAAATACAAATAAATTTAAAACGTAATTTTTTGATGCTTTAAATACAGGACAAACCATTTCATGTTTAATTTAACAAATTATCAACTTTGTAAATCATTTAATGGATTAGAAATTAAATGGAATTAAGTCTTTTGCACTTCTCAATCGAATTGAATTTACCTGCGTTAGGTCAATCATTCTAGCTTTATAAAAAAGTGCAACTAGGAAATAACTTTTCGCGACATCGATTCAACAAGATTAATATACACCATTGCCAAAGAGATTAATAATCAATCTATCTTTAGTTATACAATATTGATCAATGGGCTCAATTAAGTTTTGGTTGATTGGAGCAGTTTTAACTAGAGCAACTCATTCATTTTTTTTCGGGGCATTTCCGAATCCTCACCTCTTGCAGCAGATCTCGCAGGTGTGCTCCAGCTGATCGGTGTCGTGCTTGGCCAGGTGGTTCGCCATCCGGCGTTCACTGCTGAAGGTGCGCTCGCACTTGGGGCAGGGGAACTTGAGCACTTTGCCGATCTGGGCGACCTTGTTGTGCACTGTCTCGATGTGGGTAGCCAGGTAGTCCTGGGAGTTGAGGGACTTTTGGCAAATGGTGCAGCTATCGAGATTGAAAAACTATAGCTTCAGAGCACGTATCTTTTGTGTGACAGACTCACGTGAAGAGCTTGGGGTTGACATGCTTGCGGATGTGGTCCATCAGCTTGGAAGCGCGCGTAAATATCTTGCCACAGCACTTGATGTAGTACTCCCGCTGGTGAACCTCCAGAAAGTGGGCCTTCAGCTCGGACAGGTAAGGAGCGCTGAAGTCGCACAGGTCGCAGTTGGCACTCATGTAGCTCGCGATGGCCTCCTCGTAGCGCTTGGCCAGCTGGGCGCGGGAGCAGCCCTTGGGCTTGCGCTCGAGGACGGCCTGCAGCTCGGTCTCTTGCACCTCTGTTGGTGGGCGCTTCCCAGGTGCCTTTCTGCGCCGCCGCTTGCTGCCGTCGTCGAGCAGATCGGCAAGCTCCTGGTGCAGGGAAAGTGGGCCTTCATCCTTCGAGGAGCGGGCCGTGGTCTTGCGCTTGGGTTTCATTTTGGTTTGCAGCCGGACCAGCGGTTCATCTTTCGGGGAAACAGATAATGAGTTACAGAAAATCACTTGAAAACAAAATGGATACCCACCATCCGAAGAGTCTTCCGCTAAATGCGCCTCAGGCGCTTCCTGCTCGCTATCACTGCTCTGCAGGCAGGGCTTCTCGTCCTCCTCCTCGGACTCGCAGGGTAGCTGCTCCTTGACCGGCTCCCTGACCTCCACACTGTCCACATTCACGTCCAGCACGCTGCCCAGCAGGCTCAGGTTGTGCAGGTCCAGTGGTTTCTCGTCCATGTCGCCCGCTGCCAGCGGCAGCTCATCAATGTTGACGTCCACGTCCACGCCGCCCGTCCACTTCATCGCCGCACAGTCCACGTCCACGGTGAGGAACTCCTTTTTGAGCGAGCACTGTTTCTGCTCCACCAGCTGCCAGAAGCCGTTGAAGTCCTCCAGATGCTCGCAGCAGTCGGTGCACACGCTGGTCGAGATGCCGTCGTCCGGCAGGATCTGGATACCATGGAACATGGGTGGAGTGGGGTATTTACTGGCCAAGGACTCGAGTCACTCACCTCCAGCTGCAGAAACTTGGCGATCATCTTGACTAGGCGCGTCTCCGCCAGCGTGTCGTCCGTCTCGAACAGGAAGACCGCGCTCCCGGGACTGAGACAACGCAGGCACAGACGACAGATCATCTTGTTGCGATGGAATTCAAATTATAAATTAACAATTCAATTGTAATTAATTAGTTGCTGCGCTGTAAACAACATAATTAGGGATGTCATTTAAATTGGGTATGGCAAAACTCTACATCAGTTAAGTTGGGTATGAAGAAGGTGGCAACGCCATACATATCTTTAACGGTATAACTTGAATTATATATGGGGTATTCCCTTAACAGGTTGTTTAATGTTCCTTAAGAGCAAACATAAATCAATTTTATCTTTATTTGTCAATTCTCAATGAAAACTACTAGTAACTTAATACATGATTTCCTGCATTACATTTTCTGCAAGATGAATTTGTATAAGGCAAAGAATCAATTAAACAGTAGAAAAAATATTATTTTAATGGAATTTTATGGAAAACAAATAAACTCTGACCATTCGAACACCACACCTATCGATAACGATTCGCCCTGCGGACGGTGGGGCAACGTCGCGGCTCTGCCGTTCACATCTGGCAACGCTTGCCGCAAAATGGCAAAAAAATAATACATACGATTTAAAACTAATGGACAATTACGTATTACGTGAAAAGAACGCAACACAAATAATAAAAACTAAATTGCCAATCAGCCCAGTGCAGTCGCGCGTGTGCGTGTGTGCAAAACTCGAGCAAAGGAAAAGTCCGTGGACAAAGTGATTCAAACGGGTTTCGGAACCGAAACTTTGGGCCTCCTCGTCCCATCCCATACCCATTCGATACCATTTTCCATCTACACTTGCGAAAAGCGACAGAGAGCGCGAGAGAGACGGCGCGAGTGAGCCGAGAGAGGGAGAGCGAAGAGAGTTGCGAGTGCGAGCGAGAGCGCTGACAAAGCCACAGCGAGAGCCGAAAATCGCAACGAAATCAAATCGAATCGGCAACCAAATCGAAGATTCTGGCGAACAAAGACAGCTAAACTGCCAAATATCCACTAGCAATAAAAACGTCTCCGTCTCGCTGCTTTTGGTTGCGCTCTCCTTTTGTTTTCGTTCATTTTTCGCAAGCGGCGAAACACGGGCGCTGAGTAAGCGCCAGAAAGAGTGCAAAAAACGAAGGAACGAAGGAAAGAAGCCAAGGAGCAACGAACTGTGTTTGCGGTGTGTGCCCTGCGTGCGAACGGGTAAGCTCTATGTTCTCATGCTCCCTTTCATTCTGGCCGCTGGCGAAATATCGGCCGTAATCAAGATTTTCGGCCAGCACGAATTGTAAATTCTGGTCAATTTAAAAGTGTTTGTGGTCGTTACCTCTGTCACCAATAATCTACTCTAAAATAATAATACTTTTAGCTGAGTTTGTTAAATCCACTGTGTGCGACTGAGAGAGCACTTCGTGTTTGTCTAGACATCCTGCTCTCTCCCGCAACCGCGTTGCATTTGTCGGCGGCAGGTTCGCGTTTTCGTTTTCCCTTTTGTTGTCATTACACGTAAAGAGATTGCGTTAATTTGTGTTTAATCAGCAAACAACAAACGGGGCAAGGTAAGGCTCTCAAATGGTTTAATAACTGCCAGGTGTATTCTGGTCATTGCCACCCTTGTATTAAGTTTCTCAGCGGTCTGGCTAAATTTCTCTACGCCGGCTGGCAACGCCGTGCTCCACACCACTCACACGCACGCAATACATGCGAAAAGTGCGAAGTGGAAGAGGAAGAATCGACGAAGAAGAAGCAGCGGCAAACTTTGTTGGACGGTGGAAAGCAGAATCAAAAGTTTGCACTTTTTGTGAAATTAAACGGTCAATCGCAGTCGAATATTCGTTAGACAGGCTGCGGAGTGTGTTAGCAAAGCGCGAGACATTCGAAGTAAACAAGTTTAAGCATTTTCCATTCAGTTTCTCATTTCTCTTCGCTAATATAACAAACGAAACTCCCCAAGTGTGTGGTTGTGTGCGTGCGGTGTTTTAACGGTATATTTCACTATTCTCTTTGTTTGCACCAGCCACTTTGCACATAAAATGGAAACACGGGCAATCATAAATAAAAGGACCTGGCTGTAAAACAATAAAAATTGCACTCGTCGATTAAATAATAACTATAAAAAAGCCTCTCGCTTTATGTGAGTGTGTGTGTATTTGTAAGTGCCTGTGCTGGTGTTCGCGTTCGTTGGGCCTGTGAATGGTTGCTATTAGAAAAAGGAGAAAAATAATTGTTGCCAAGCGTTTATATTGTCTTGAGTTCCCATACTTACATCAATTTGCTTACATTTTAAATGTCCTGCACCGGCCATTGTTGTTGTTGGGAGGATTTTACTGGCCCCGTTTCTGTTTTTGTTGCTGTAGTTGTCGGCCATTGTTCGTCCGCCCCCTCCAACGCCCCCACCCAACAATTATTACAAGACGCCACCGCAAAAATTCTTTCAATGCGTTGCCGCATCTGCCGCTGGTGTGTGTGTGGGCAGATTAGTCTAGCCATCTCGCTCCCACCTTCGCCCACCTTAAGGGGCCTCTAAGTTGCGTGTGCTTAACAGCACTGGCTGTCCTGCTCGCACCAAACATTGTCTGTAATGCAGTGATGGAGCGAGGGGGGGTTACTGGGAATAGTTTCCCCCAAACGTTTTCGTAAGAAACGCAAAATCACAACAAAATCCTTTAATTATTTTTAATAATCAAACAATTCCAAATTTAAAACTTCAATTTTTTTCTAGATTGTTAGAAAAACGTTTTGAATATTTCGTTTAGCAGAATTAATAGACATTTAGCATATAAGTACTTTGATTTTGAATTTGTTAACAATTTTGTATAATTCTACATTTAATAAACTTATGATCTAGAGTCTAAGTTTAATAGGTTATAAGACACAAAGAATTTATTTTTTAAGCAATCTAGAATGATTGATTGTTAAATGTGATTTTTTAAAAATACTAACTACAATTAGTTCATATTCATATCTAATATATTTTTTAAACATACAATTTTTGATCATATTCCAAGCAGAGAATATGATAAAAAATAATGTAATTCTGCAAGTCTGTTAAAAAGTGCTCTCAACAGAGTACCTTGATACGCCTCTGGTCGCATTATAGGTGCGGATTGGGTGGGGTGGCTAAATGGAGAAGTTCCTAGGGGCAAGCGTACCACATCAGACAACAAAAGTCAGTGGGCAGTAAAGATATTGTAGGGAGCACCCAACTGCAACTAGCGCCGTTTCCTCTTGTACTCAATGTTTTCCCTATCTGTCCTTTTAGCCCACCAAAAAGACTGAAACAAGGAGCTTCAGCCCAAAAGCGGCGATCCCAGCACCTTATCCTCATCCAGAGCCACAGCCACATCCTTGCCCATTCTCCAGCGCAGCGGGAAGAAGAGGAGCGCGGCGGCGGCGTGAAGGAAGCTAACGCTAATGAGGATCTATTGGCAGCATGAGTACACTGGGGGGAAGTAGGGGAGAGCGAAATGCCAAGCCCAAATTCACAGCGTTGGATATAAATCGCATGTACAAGAATAGCCGCGTAAGTAGATACATTAGGTCTTGATCTAGATCGATCCAAACTTATATTTGTCCACTAACTTATCTTGGTGCTTCGCAGGGCGAGTCAAGTGAACCATCTGCACAAAAGAATCAAGTGCCACGTAAACATGGAATGCAAATCTTGGGCAAAGTGCCGTCCGCTAGGCGACCACCAGCCAATCTGCCATCCCTGAAGGCCGAGACCCACACCGGCAGCAACAATAATCTCCTAGTCTCAGTCGAAGGTGCGTATCCTTAAAGCGTAGATTGCTATTGGGTTAATAAGACGTATAACCAGCTAAATTTCTCACTTCAGGAGCCACATCTGGAGGAGCAGGCGCAGGCGGAGCAGCGGGAGCAGGCGCGGCAGGAACAAACACTAGCCACAACAACACCACTGCCCACAGCGGAAGTTCAGGAGCAGGCGGATCAGGCGGAGCGGGTTCAGGCGGAGGAGGAGCTGCGTCGTCATCTGCTGGCGGACATCATACCCAGCAGCAAGCCCACAGCCAGCACCAGCACAACAATAACATCGGCCTTGGCCCGAACGCCGGAAAGTTCGTCAATAGCAACAACAGCAGCAGCAACAACAACGCCGGCAACTCAGGCGGCGGCAATAAGAACTTCAAATTAATCAACAACTCCGTCAGCAGCTCCGGCGCCGGAGGAGGAGGAGGATCGGGCGGCAGCGGCGGCTCGGCAGGAGGAGGAGGAGTAGGCTCCGGATCGGGCGGACACTCAGTCAACTCGCCCAAAACATGGTCTGCCATCACCACAGGACACGATCGGGGCTCGGGCGGCCAGCACTTTGGCCGTCAGCAGCAGCAGGTTGTGCCCCACTACCAGAGTCCGCAGTTCCAGTACGAGTTCCCCACGCTGGACGGCACAGTTGGCAGCGGCGCCGGCGGCGCAACCGGTGCGGGTGTGGGATCCGGTGCTGGAGTAGGCAAGAGCCACTATCAGAACCAGGCACACCACACTGGCCACCAAAATCACCACCAGCATCAGCAGCACCACCAGCAGCATCAACAGCACCACCACCAGCAGCAACAGCACCATCGGGACTACCACCATGGCCACGGGCGCCAGTATGGACACCACTCGCATCGCGACTACAGAGATGGCAGCGACGACGTCGGCGGCGGGTCTGCAGACCTGGGCGAGCTCAGCCTTCGTCCACAGAACGACACGGCCGCCTGGCTACAGCAGCAGGAGAAGGCAGCCAAGGTGGCAGCGGCTGCGGCAGCGGACCAGGGCCTCAACCTACAGGGCCCGGTCCACCACCAGATGGGGGGTAACGGCGGCGGAGGAGGAGGTTCGGGCGGAGCTGTGCCTTTGCCCATCCTCTCTTTGATGCCCTCGTTCATGCGCAGCGGTGCTCCGTTACCCGCCGCCGGAGCGACGGCGGCCAGCATCTTGGCCGGTGGATCCTTGGACTCCGCCGTCCTGCCCAACGCTCCCTACCAGAACGGCATCCTGGGCGGTCGTTCTGCCTCGCCTGCGGTAGTGGGCAGTGGTGGCTTCCGGGCGGCCACAGCCATCCCTAAACGACCACCGGCTTCCTCCTCGCCCCCGCAATCTGGACTGGGCATCGGAGGATCTCCCACGCCCCCACAATCCCAGCAGCAGCAGGCTAATGGGGGAGGCAACGGAGCCGGTCGTAAGGACAAGGATTACGTGGTAGAGCCGGAGGTGGCTCAAATGCAGCGTCCTATTATCCGCGAGGAGGACCTGGAGCGCCTCAACGCTATCGCCAAGGACGACAGCTGGACCAAGCAGGACGACATTGACTACACGAAGAAACTAACATTCTCGGACGACGAGTCCACGCCGGAGGAGCACCAGGGACAGGGGAAGCAGCAGCACAGCTCCGCCCAGCTGCAGTCGCAAGGATCCTCCTCAGTATTGGCTGGAAATGATCAACGCAAGCTGTCCACCTCCACGTCCAGTTGGCAGCGCGGCAAGGAGAGCACTGAGCGCGAACAGCCACCCGAAGTTATTCAAGATCAGCAGCAGCTACAGCAGCAACAGCAGCTCCAGCAGCAGCAGCAAGAAATCCGCCAGCAGAACGGCCATCGAGGTAGCTCTGGCAATGTGGGAGCGCCAGTGGCCGGTGGAATCGCCCTGGATGCTAGCGTTTACGAGCGAGTGAAGTTGCGAAAGGAGGAGGAGGAGCGTCGCGAGATGGAACGCAAGCAGGCTGCCGCCAAGAAGCTGCAAGAACTAGAAATGAAGATGAATAGCAAAAAGGCTGCGGCGGCAGCTCTGGCAGGAGTAGAGGGAGGAGCACTATCGTCCTCGGCCTCGACATCGTTGTCCAATGAGGTGCCACCTCCGTCCGCTCCTCTGGGCAACGTCAGCGAAGACGAGGGAGGAGGCCAAGGCGGAGGCGCAGGCCTGCACCGTCGACCCCGCGGAAGCATCTCTAGCCTGGGCAGCGGTGTCACTCCCACGGGAGGAGCTGGTGGTGGCGGCAGCGGCGGGTGGAGCCTCGTCATCCTCGTCGGCAGGCGGCGACTACGGTCAAAAGACCTTCCTCACCCATTTCCAATCAAACTTACCACCCCGTTTCCAGCGCCAACAGCAGCAACAGCAACAGCAGCTGCCGCGCCTGGAGAAGAGCGCCTCGGCCAGCAGCGCATTCGATAGCAATTCCCGCTATCTGCAAAAAGGTGGGGTTGGCGGAGGAGGAGGTGCCAGTGGAGGACCACAGGCCAGTGCTGGACAGGGTCGCACCATTTCCGGCGGCTATGCGCAGCGGGGTGCCAGCGTTGGAGGAAGCGGCGGGCGATACGGGCGCAACCGACACGACAGCAACACTGCTCGAGAGGAACAGGAGTTGGAACAGCAGCAGCAGCGGTTCACCCGCGGTCAGGACTACCGACAGGCACAAGCGCTGCCGCGCAGCATATCTGAGAACTCACACCGCAAGACCAGCGTGTCATCGGCTGGCGATGATGTCCTGGGCGCCGGAAGCGGCTCCTGTTCATCGTGGGCAGAGCAAACGGATGCAGAGCAGAAGGTTCACCATCGTCACCGTGAGGAGAGCTTTTCCTCCACCCACAGCCACGATTCGGCGGTTCAAATCAAAATCCTGCAGCGTCCGGCCCGTCAGCCGAGCCTAAGTGAGGAGTCCTCGGCCCAGCAGAAGCTGCTGCCTGCCTCGCCGCAGCAGCAGAAGTCGCTGACGGCGGATCCCATGCCCACGCAGATTCTGCGACGTAGCGTGGAGATCGAAAAGCCCGGAGAGGAGCGGACGGACGACAAGTCCGCATTGGAATCGGAGGACAAGGCGAAGACAGCGGCTGGCAAGGTGGAAGAGGACAAGTCCGGCAACAAGCGTCCAAGTCCCAGAAGCGGAGCAGCATGCGGAGGACGAGGTGGCCGTAGCTATACCAGCGGCAGTGGCGGATCATCTGTCGGATCGGGTAGTAGCTACCGCGGCCAGAGGAGCGCCAGTGACTGGAGCAGCAGTCGTGGCAGCGGCGGCGGTGGCAGACGCTACTACGGTAGCGGCGGCGAGCAGTCGGAGCACTCGGAGGACGTGGATGAGGACTGCTACAGCAGTGGAGGAGGCGGAGCGGCAGCAGCAGCGCGCCGCAGCCCCAAAGAAGCGGGCAGCAGTGCATCCAATTCCGGCCAGGCTGCGGCCAACAAGGCGGGCTTCTCACCCCGCGGCGAACCATCGCGACGTGGACGTGGCGGCCTCTCTAGCGGAGGAGGCGGTTCCGCCCCCGGTTACCGTCGACAGCCCGTTGGCTCTGGCTCCGCTGGAGGATCAGGAACGGGAGGAGCGGGGCGCACCTATGGCAGACTTGGTTACGAGGAGTACGGCAAGCAGCAGCGCACCTCCGAATCGGAAGCGGACCTGGACAAGACCAAGCAGAACCAGCTGGCACTGAGCGCCGGCCTGCACAAACCGAGCAAGGATGACAAGGATCCGTCTGCGCTCAGCGGCGAGGAGAAGGACAAGACAGCCACTCTGGCTCCCGCCCACAACACTGCCCTGCTGGCGAAGGACGAGTTGCAGAAGGACTCGGCGGGACGCCTGCCTCCCGGCCTCTCGACAGCGGGCGGCCCGGCGGGACCTGCTTCAGCCGCATCCACATCGGTCGCAGTTCCCAGCTCGGCGGACAAAAAGAAGGGTGAGTCCTGTGCCGTTGTGGGCGGCGAAAAGGTGGTGGGCGGCAAGTTGCCTGCCATCGGCGAGAAGACCTCACTAGGCGCCGTTGGCTCGGGCCCATCGACAAATCTCCTGTTGGATGCCGGTGCCCCCGTCAACACGATCATCTTCGAGAACTCGACTTACAAGCAGCAGGCAGCGGCCGCTGCCGTCGTGGCCAAACCAGGAACGCTCTCTGTGTCCAGTGGCGGCGCCACTATGACCGTCGATAGCCTGTCCAGTGCGCTCTCTCAGATGAGTTTCGGGGGCAAGGCGACGGCTTCGGGCGCCGTCGACGATTCCCAGGACATGAAGTTGGGATTCAACTTTGGCGATGACCCCACAACGCCTCTTAAGGTGGTGGACACCATCGATAAAACGCCCAGCCAGCAGCAACAACAACACTCCCAGCAACAACAGCAGCAGCAGCAAAACAACTCGACGGCGGATCTTAACATGAAGATAGCCAGCGTGAAGAAGGTTTGGGAGGCCACGCCCATGTCCGACGGTCCATCGCCGGCGCAGGTGCAACAACAGCAGCAGCAGCCCCAGCAGCAACAGCAGTCGCAAGTGCAGGTGGTTGCGCAGCAGCAGCAACAACAGCAGGTGGTGGGACCGCAGCAGACTGGCGACGATGGCAATAGCCACATGAGCGCAGCATCCTTCGTGGCCGCAGTGGCCGCCTCACAGCACCAGCAGCAGCATCAGCAAATGCCCCACTACGCGGTGTCGGCGGTGCACATGCAGAGCCACCACCACCAACAGCAGCAGCAGCAGCAGGCGGCGGCAGCGGTGGCGGCAGCGCAGGCGCAGCACCACCAGCAGCAGCAGCAGGCACAGGCGCACCACCAGCACCATGCGCTCTCCTCGCCGGGCCCGGTGCCCGGAGGGCATGGCCATGGCTACGGCCATGGGTCGCCGTTCGACGCGGGATCGTTGGAGCAGCAGTTCCAGCAGGAGGACTACCCCAGTCCCCAGCAGCAACAGCAGGCGCACCAGAAAACCAAGCAGTTGCAGCAGCAGCAGCACCTGGGCATGTCTCCGCCGCCCAGTCAGCAGCAGCACTCGCAGCAGCAGCAGCAGGCACATCAGCAACAGCAGCAGCAGGCCCACCAACAACAGCAACAGCCCTCGTTCTACCAGGCGTCCCCACAGTTCGGCGTTGGGGGCATTTCCACGATCCCCAGCCCGCCGGCCGTGGTGTACAACTCGTCGCAGATGCCGCCGCCGCCACCGTCGCAGGGCGGCAATCTGTACGCTTCATTCCATTCGCTCGATCATTCGAGCCGTTCGCCCGCCTACTCGGCGGCGGCGGCCGCCCACAGCTTCCCGAACCACTATGCGGCAGCAGCAGCGGCGGCGGCGGCAGCGGCCGCGGGCGGCGGTCCCTTCAATGTGAACGTGAACGCATACGCAATGCAGACGCCACACGGCGGCAATCTGCCGCCCTCGGCGCCCACTCCGGACATGTACTCGAACCTCTCCTCCCAGTTCCGGCTGGGCGGCGGTCCGGGTCCTGGACCGGGTCCCTTCGGCCAGCCCAGCTCGCAGCAGCTGAACAACCCGACTAACCACGCCGCGGTGGCAATCATCTCGTCCAGCAGCAACTCCATGATGTCGTCAGGGGCGGCCAAGCCGCCGCCCAGCCAGCAGCCCATCGGGGCCATAGGCTCTAAGTCGGCGGGCAGCGGCGGTGGTCCAGGACCAGGACCCGGCCCCTACGCTACCACCCAGCAGTACATGAATCTTTATGCGGGCCCGCCGCAGCATCCGGGTCAGGGCGGTCCGCCGCCCGGCGCTCACCAATTGCAGTCGAACAGCTACTACTCGAATTCGGCGCCAGGCGGCCCCAGCGGACCGCAGTTTTACGGCGGACCTCCGCCGCAGGGCAATGGCGGAGCACAGAGCTACGGCCTAGCCACCGCCGCCGGCATGTATGGCGGCCATCAGGCCGGACCGCCCGGTTCCAATGGACCGCCGGGACCGCCACAGTCGCAGCACACCATGGGCACCTTCAATACGCAGTTCATGAACTCGCAGCTGCTGACGGCGGCCAGCATCAACCAGTACCGCGGCGGACCAACGCCCGGAGCCGCTTATCTCAAAGGCAGCCAGGGACAGGCACACATGCAGGACTCGGTAAGCGAAGGACTCGTCATCCCAATGCCGACTTTCCCACTATTCCATTAACCATATTGTCGTTTTCCTAGTGCGGTATAAAGAGAAACAATTCAAGACCATATACCTAAGTGTTTAACGGAAGGTGGAATCGAGTTTAAGCAAGATTTGGAGCCAGAGATTGGCAAGAAGAATTGTTGGATTTATCGTTGAGTTGTTCCCGATTTTTAATCAGTTCACTTTGTCGCACTAAAAAAGCCTGCCTTTACCATTTACAATATTTTTGTTTTTCTATCTTTTTGTAAAGAGAAATAATTCAAGACCAACGTGTTTCAGTTTGAGCAAGATTTGGAGCCAGAAATGCGCACAAAATGTAAAAAAAATGTTTCTACGTTTTTTTGGACGTTAAATTGTTCTTAACGTTGTTTAACCCAAAAAGTCATAGAGCAGGATAAGTTTTATTGAACAAACTGAGAAGCAAATACAAAATAAATGTTGGATACATTGGTATCAAGTTGTTTAAATTAAAATGGAAACTGCAGTCAGAGGTTGATAATTATTTAAAGCTATCACTCCTTAAAATATCTACGTATTAAGAGGCTAAAATAAAATGTGAACAAATGAGAAAATGTTTTCAATTTTTTTAAAATTGCACAAGAGAGTAACCTTTTCTTTGATGTAAGATATGAAAGTAATTAAACTTACTTCGCGAAGGAGACGACTTTAATATTGCCAACATTTTTTATGACAAACTTTTTGGTCTGATTTTGCAATGCTTGATAAATTTAAAATAAAAACGATTAAAGCGCATTTGTATAAAAGAATTGAAATTTTGTTTTGTTTAACTATTTTTTATGTTCTGCTCAGGGCCGATTTATCTTTGCCATTTTAAGGTTAAAGTTTGTAATGTTTTTAATAAAGTTGATGATCATTTTCTCTTACGAGCAATGGAAACACAAAAACAGTCCATTTTAGAGGGGTTATTAATAATAAATTGCTTTCAAAGTCGGACTGTGGCCAATTCTTAACTGGAAACTGGCCTCTAGTCATGAGTTGTTAGTAAAACAAGCTATAAAATAATATTGAGAAAATCAACCAACAAAATTTAAGAAGATACTAAACAATCGCTTTTTAAAAGCATTTGTGCTAATTGATTTCGAGTAAAGCATATGAAAGTAAAAACTGAAACAGACTTGTATTTGTACTTCAGTGGGCTTTCAACTTAAGGTTAAAAGTGTTATACTCCAGACTCTCATGAATCATCGACTGATCTACTGATTACAGAAATATATATATTAGGTGTTTTTTACTTGTAAATACTTTTCCTAATCATTTTATTTCCTGCTTCTCTTCTCAGATGGGTCGTCAGCTGAAAAGTCCACTGAGCGCCGACATGAGCCTCGGTCTGGCCAAGCAGGTGCAGTCGCAGCCCAGTCCGCCGCACCATAAGAACTACGGCGCGGTAAGTGTCTCGCTAAGCCTCCTCGGGTTCGACTCCTGCTAATTGCCCAATGCTTTCCTTCCAGTGGGACCTACAGAACCAGGTGCTGCAGCAGCAGCAGCAATCTCAGCAGCAACAGCAGCAGCAGCAGCGGCAGGGCGGCGGCGGAGGCGGCAATGGGCCGAACATGAACGCCCTGGGCGGACGTGGCAGCGGGGCGGTGGGCAGCGGCAGCGGCAACGGAGGAGGCGGTGGCTCCCAGGTGGGCGGCAATGGCGGTGGCAATGGTGTCGGCAGCGTCGGCCAAAGTGGCGGCGGCCAGGGACGCTATCCCACGCCCATCCAGCGGCCCAACAACTACCCCCAGCATCCCCAGCAGCAGCAGCAACAGCAGCAGCAACAACAGCAGCAGCAGCAGCAGCGGGATCAAGCGGCGGCGGCTCAGCGGGCCCAAAACATGCGCCAGGTGACCGGTGGCGGCGGAGGAGTGTCCGGAGGAGCCGGCGGCGGCGGCAGCAATACACCTGTGGGACCGCCCGGAGGCAATAACGGTGGCAATGGCGGTCCAGGTGGAGCGGGCGGAGGAGGAGTGACCGGCGGAGCGGCCGGCTCTGGACCCGGGAAGCCCTATTATGCGAATAATGCCACCGGCACGTCCGGCGGCGCCAATCGTGGGGAGTGGCATGCGAACTGAGCGAACTAAACTACCCAGACCGCCACCCCAGCCACCCGTCAGTAAACCCCCGAAACAAAAACATAGAGATACAAATGGAAAGCAGAGGAAATCAGTCCGAGAGCTGGAGGAAAGTATCCCATACAAACCGAGAACATGAACGCAAACAGAGGAAGCCAGGAGTAAAAACTAGCGAAAGCCAAGAGAAAGTGGAATATTAACGAGCGAAACCAAGCGAAACACAAACATTCAACCTTCAAACATCAAGATCATGGTGTCTGTGGAAGGGGCGATGTGAGTAGGAAAGTGAGCTATTGGGGGATTCCCCGTCACAACCGCAAAAGGCAACTCAGCAAATTATCAGCGAAAGTAAACGTAGCGAAGAAAGTAATCGCAAATCGAAAGTGAGAAGACGAAAGGTTCAACAGGAAACGAGTAAGGAAAAACTAATTGCAAGAAGAAATATTTAAAAAACACCACACCACACAACACACACACACACACATGCATACATATACATAAACATACATACTTACATAAAATAGCAGAGTGTATTTTTTGTCAAACAAATTTACATAATAATATATTACTTTTATATACTTATGATTTTTTGTAGTAGAGTCTTTCTCATTTAAACAAAAACAAACGAAACAAGAAAAACAAAATGAACCTTTGGCACTGCGTATGCTTTAATTTCTTTATATATTATACATATTGTTTAATTTTTTTGCAACCAACAAAAAATCAACTAATAATTCTAATTTATGTTTATGCTACAATATACATTATATATACAATCTATCTATCTATCTATCTATATCTATCGATATCAATCTTTCTGTGTAGACAGCGAATAAGAGAGAGACAGACAGACAGAGAGAGACAGAGACAGACATAGACAGACAGAAAGAGACAGAGAGAGAGCGGACGAACGAGAGAGAGTTTGTTTAAGCGCAAAGTTAAGTTCAAACGTAAAACAAATACATATAGAAATCTTGTCGTCTTATAAACAACAACAAATAGACAATTGCGTCACAAATTGTACTCGGCGGTCTCTATATTGTTATATATAGTAAACTAACCCTGATCCTAACTAAAACTAAAACTAGAAAAGAGGGAGAAACGAAATATGGACCCAAGCTTAAATTTGAAAACAGTGTTCAGCGCAATCGCACACCGGTGGCAACGCTGCCGACACCCTCGCAGCCAGTGCTGCCACCTCGGCCGCTGCCGGCGATAATTAGTTAATCGATTATCACTAACCCGCCTGTCCAGCAATCTGAAAAAAGGACGAGTAAGGACGTTTATGCTCAAGGTAGAATTCTAATTGTAGCGCGACGTAACGGGGAGGTGAGGAGGCAACATGAAAATTAAACGATTTATATAAATGTGTAATTCATTATGTAACTGTAACTTAACAAGGATATGATATGTATGGCATATACTACACTCAAAAACACAGACACACACAACATAAATATATATATATATATACATATTTGAATATATATATAGAGGCAAAATCCAAGCGAAAAACAAAAACACTCCAGCAAACATTTTTAAGGAAAGCAAAATCCCCACATATATCCCAGTAATTAATACGATTATACTCGGATCGAAATCCTGCGGAATGGGGCAGAGATCTCCTCTAAACGCCTGAAGCCAACTAGTGCAATGCAGACTCTGCCCCGTTCCGCAGGACTTTGCAACTAAATGTAGTAGAATTAATAAATATACAATGCAAAATAAGAAATGCAAGAAAAAAAAGAAGGCAAAAGCAAGGCACTTTTCGCTAGGCTTTTAACAAAAAACCGAAACAAAACTGAAACCATTTAGCGATATTAATTAGTCCACACACACACTCTCTCTCACACACGCCCCTGCCACACCCACAAATATGAAAAACCCAAAATATTTGGGACGTTTGCTATGCCAGGCAATGTTTAGTTATACAAAAAAAACATAAAACAATACAAAATCGAAAACAAACAAAAATTAATGAAATGATGAGTAAAAGTAACAAAGCAGGCTTGCTATCACACAATACATGTAAAAGGTATATTATATAGCATATTGATAAATGATATAAACATTAATTTATACCTATATTTTAAATGCATCATCTGGTTTTTCGTCTCCACCAAAAAACGGACAAGACAAGGATAGCAACAGCATAAGCATGATAATGATTACGATAACGATAACGATGACGGTTAGGCAGGAAACGGAACGAAGAAGAAGAGTATATGGTGGAGAAGAGTACATGGCATATATGCATACAAATATATGTAAACCATTTTTACATTCAATTCATTCAAATTAATTTTTAGTAATACTGAAATTTCGATAAACTGGGGCAGCGAATGCTCCGCCCCCGCCCCGCCCTCTCAAATAAGTCCCTACCCACGAAAAAGAGGAAATTTAAAGCAAGTTTGAAATGAAATAAAAACTTTAAATAAAATATTTAAAACAGAAAACCAAAAACAAAAAGTGAGTCAGCTCGATATTTGGAACACATATTCCTAAACTATTGAAAACGACTGCTTATTCGTATTGAAATATTGTGTTACTTTCAGGTTGCATTTTTGCATTGTAAAATGCTAAGGGAATATTTAATGAAATATTGGTATTGTACAACGATTTGGACTACATGGTCTACTTTCACTTTTATATGGGATAGAAGGGATAGAAAGAAGGGGCTTTTGAAGTATGCGAATTTTACATACATATTTTCTAATTTTCAGATTCATTTTTTGCGTAGTTAAGTTCATTGGGCTATTGCATACAGCGATTTTTAGTGTATTGACTTCCGTATTAATTTTAAAAGAAGGGAATATGATTAGTTTTAAAACTAAACTCCGTTGTTAATAGTGATTTGGAATCCTTACTGCTTCTGTTGGATAATAAAGAATGGTAAGAAGTGAATGATCTTTAAAGGTTGTAAAAGGTTATATTCACCAATGTGGAAGTTCGGAAAACTAAAAGGCATTAGAAATAGTTTATGATTTGGTCGAATTTTTAGAATTAACTAAAGAATGGTTTTGGGCGACATCACCAAGGGTAAAGTTAGATTTTAGACGAGGGCGGAAGTTAACTTTGGCAAGCCAAAGTTTTAATCCCCTTGCAGACTTTGTCGAAATTGCTAAAATTGAAAAAGTAGCGAAAAGAATAGGGTATACATAAATAAATTAGATTTGCATAGTTTCATGTCAATAGATTTTATACCGCAAAAACGTCATATAAAAATAGAAAAAAAGGAATATTTTCGCCGCCTTTAACAATTATTACTACGGAAGCTATAAGATATAGACGTCCGATCGGCAAGCGCTTTTACCCTGATCAAGATATGCGTAAATAAATAAGACTTTATGTCAATAGCTTATACACTGCGCGAAATATTCTGAAAAACATCAAATTTGGACCAATTTCACCCTACTGTTCTTATGGGAGATTAATGATATAGACGTCCGATCGGCACGCGCTTTTAGTTTGAAACAAATTCGATTTGGAAAGATTCATGTCAATAGCTTATATACTGTGCGAAATATCTTGAAAATCATAAAATGTTATCAGATTTCACCCTATTGTTCCTATGGGAGCTATAGGATATAGGCGTCCGATCGGCACGCGCTTTTACCCTGATCAAGGTATGCATACAAAAATATGAATTGGAAAGATTCATGTCAATAGCTTTTACACTGCGCAAAATATCATAAATTCTTGCAAGGTATATCCGATTGTTCCTATGGGAGCTATTACTATAGACATCCGATCGGAGCGATTTTCAAACTTGATCTGCGTACACATGTTTTAGGACAATTGTGAAAGTTTCAGATCGCCAGCTTTTAAACTGAGCTCGCGAACGGTATTAAAACAGACGGACGTGGCTATATCGACTCCCCTATTGATCCAGATCAAGAATATGTATACTTTATGTCGTCGGAAACGTCTTCACTGCGTTACAAGCTTCTGACCAAAATTATAATACCCACTGCAAGGGTATAATAGCTTCTAGTAACGTTAAATTTAAGCGATAGATATTCAACCATATAAAAGGAGTCAACTAAGTTATTTAAATCTCTATTCTGCGTCTTAAAATATGATATTAAACATAATTGAAGGGTCGGTAATCAATGATACAATAATACGTTTATATGCAACTATAAACATGCGCTGAGCTGTGATAAACTTCCTAAAGGGCAATATATTTCTGATTTCGCTGATGAACTGAACATCAGAACTACCGATTAGTTAATCTTGATGTGTGCAAACATCCTGAATATCTTTTAGGGGGCTTAATGTTGTTCTCTTCTTGGAGACCCTCATTTTAAAGGGTTTCGTAAGTCGCCTTTAGTGCAGAAGTGGAGTTCTAGGTGCAGATGTTGGAGGTAAAGGCTAATAAAACAGGCGAATCTGTCCATTCAGCGATGTTAAGGTCTCAATATCTATATGGTTCAGGTCCACACAAGTGAGCAGGGAAATCCCTGAAAATTTAGTGTTTGTTTCCACATGATATGTTCCTTATTTGCCAAGAATCCGGAGCAAAGGTGCCATGAAATCATGTGGGAGACCCAAGGATCGTTACATAATGCACTTCGTGGTTCAGTGTGTTACATTCTCAGCTTATTTATTCCTTCAAGGTCTTGCACTACACATAAAATAAACCCGCTCCGGCGAACCGGAGGCGTCTGATCCGGAATCCAGCGGCATCCAGTGGCATCCCCGGACCCTGAACTTCGGATGTGGCGGATGCGGATGAGTATGAGGGCGCCCTACTTCTTCTTGGGCTTCAGCACCTGGTAGGCGATCAGCAGTCCTACCACGGCGTACGTGGCCTTGGCAACCTGATGATGGCATAACACTCGGATTAGGATTACGAATGGGATTTGGCCGGGCAAATAGCACTACTCACATTGGCACGGCCGCTCATGGTGGAGCCATTGAAGATCTTCGACAGGCCGGTCAGTTTCTCGCCTTCGCCAGCCATTTCTGCGGGTCAAAGGGGAGTTGGTTTAGTTAAGTCTTTGGACAAGTGCCCCATTAGTGTTCCCCACTCACTTTAAGGTTTATTTGCACGGAATTCGAGCTGCTGCAGTCGCCAGTAAAAAATATTTGCGGCGGAGGTTATACAACTGGGGTGAGTGTTCGAAAACGTCCCGTTTCGTTTTGACATGCTGGGGCTGCCAACTTGTGCCAATCGAAATTTCACATATATTTTTGTTCTTTTAAATACTTTTTTTATATACAGCCTTAATTTAGAACCAAAAGTTAATAAGCTTCTGCAAATAATTAATGCGTATTTCTTTCAAGCTCAGTTACAATAGTGGTCCGTTTGCCAACACTACCATATTTTATTGCTACTTATTAAGCGCGTAATTTTCAAATTCTATAAGCATTTAGACTTTATGTGACTGAAACGCAGCTGAAATATGATAATTAATTAAATATACTTTTTGGTAAAGACCAGATTATTAAGCTACAAACATAAAAGTTTTTTTTTTAAAACATTTCAAAATTTAAAAAATGTTTTGGCTAAAAAAATATCTTTAAGTATAAAAGGTAAATCAAAAGGTCACAAGATTCACACGTTTTATAAATTATTTTTCGTTTGTGTACCCATTCAGAGAGTTTTAGAAACAGAGAAAAATATATCTATAAATATTTTTTTTCTTTTTGAACTTTATTGATGTGAATTAGTTTAAACAAGTGGTTTATAACAAATTTAAAAATTTTTCAGAACTTTATCGAAAGTTTAACATTTTCATCGAAGTTATACTTGGTTAAATCTTTTTCCACTTCAGTGTTTGCCCTAAAAAGAAATTATTTGAAAATAGCTGGATTGGAAATACTGGTTATTGCATATTAATAAGTGTTGTACATACGTTGGCCTGCTGCGTTATCGAAAACTAGATGACTTTGGATGAAGTGTCAAATGAACAAATGCCTACACAATTTTGGTTTTTATAGTCATTCAGTACCGGGGAACCAAGCCGCACCTTTCATCCTGTTTTTTTTTTTAATTCGGGGTTCCTTTTTTTATTTTTTTGATTGTTTTATAACAAAGTGATACTCCTGTTTTCGCAACATTTCGTAAATATGTTCTTGGTTTAATTAGTTTATGGCAAGGTCTATACTTAAAGACGCCGTGCATGACGCAGCACATTTTCTTTTTCGGATTTTCTTACCTTCATTTGGAATAGCCACCGACACCATCAGGTAAATACTAAATAAATTGTTTGACCAAATCTGAATAAATTGAAGTTGATTTCAGACTCCTTTCTTATTTGGACCTTCTGAATTACAAGTAATGCTAATGAAGCTCTTTATTTTATGGGTTTGCGCGGTTTCAATATCCTTAATCCCAACGTTTTCCTTGGCACTATGCCACTTATCGTTAAGTCCTTTATATACATTAGTTCCTGGTAATCCTGCTGCTTATTTTATGTTTCTCGCAACGAAACGATGATTTCTGGATAAGTTTTGTATCTCAAGGCGGCCTTTTGGAATTCCTCTCTGTAAGTACTTAAATAAAAAAAATGTATTTACCAAATCTTATTAATTTTGAGTTTTGAAAAAACTTTGCCAGTTGTATTTCCTGTGGGTTTTCCTTTTATTTTGTAAAACGCAATTCACCTCTAGCTCCAACTGTTTGATGTATGTATATACAACTTTTAATATCTACTCTGATTAATTTTGTTTTAATTTCAGGCATCTTTCCTTTTGTTGTTCCTGAGTTTATTGAAGATTATTGCATTCTCTTTTGGTTCTATTTTTTATTAACCGATGTGCGAAAGAAAAATTAAACCGAGATATATATAGAATACCCAACAGAAACCAAATATATAGTATAACCAAACTTATGTTCTTTAAAATCTGAAATCACTGATGTTGTTTAAAATTTTAGTAGTAATTTAAGCCAACAAAGAAATCTAAAGATTTATCCACTGTCAATTATTTGTAAAATGATTTAATTAAATGTATTGCCTTCCAAACTCTTATTTTCTTGTCTAATGGCAATATTCAATGTTCAATCGTTTAGTGGCGGAAAGCAACTGCAATTTAAACTTGGTCGCGATATCACATTAACCTTTAAATGGTTAGTCCTTCTAATTGCAAATTACAGGGTGCTTATTAAATGTCAACGGCAGCTTTGGAAAATCGCATCTAATTAAGGGTCTAAATATAAGCGACCCACAACTATTCGCTGGCTGATGTGGCTCAAATATACGCAGACTCATTAAAATTATAATGCACTTGCTGAGAACTAAAGGCTGCCAGCGGATTGTCAAGAAGAGCAGAAGAAAGGGCCGGCATTAAACAGAATGCAGCGAAAGGCAAAAAAATCGTGTAATTAGTGCCATAAATGCACTTGCACTCCACCCAAGTCCACACCCATTTAACCCACAAAACGCAGCACAAAAGAAGAATATTAAATGAAAGCAGTGCCAAATCCTCCGTCTTAACAATTAGCGAATAAAAATGCCTACAGTCCAACGTACTTTTCCCGAACTTGGCCCAGTTTGACTTTCTAAATACCTGTCATATTTTAAGATTTCTGAGACTTTTTGTTTTAAATCATGGTTTAGTGATTTATGCTAAAGGCCCATAATTCTGGCACCCAAAACCTTATTATTATAAAAACACTAAAAACTTTATGTCTAGGGATTTATTGATTGTAAAAAAAAGAAAAATTGAAATTAATAAATATCCGTTTTGATTTATGCATTTAACTATTCATTTAAATGTATTTAGACTTATTTACTCACGACCATTTGAGTGGCCTAGTTACCTGGGTTTCAGTTATTGAAGTTTGACTGTAGCTTTGACGTGACAGCGAATGCCACGCCCCCTGCCTAGCGCCTATAAAAACCTAACGACATCCAGGACGTGGCTATAAAATCCGTCTCTGTTAAAGATGAGCGTCGACATGCAGGGTAAAAAGAAGATAAGAATCAAGGCCAAAATCGGGTTCAGGATCTCGGTCAGGATCAGGATCAGAAGGACCAAGGCCAAGGCCAATCCCTGCGCGTCCAAATCCTCGTGTACCGCTGCATGGGCATCGACCTCTGGAGTCCCACGTGGGTCAACGACCGTCCGCTGCTGACCTTCGTCACCATGGGCCCCCTGTTCATGTTCATGGTGCCCATGTTCCTCGCCGCCCACGAGTACATCACCCAGGTGAGCCTGCTCTCCGACACCCTCGGCTCCACCTTCGCCAGCATGCTCACCCTGGTCAAGTTCCTCCTCTTCTGCTACCACCGCAAGGAGTTCGTCGGGCTGATCTACCGCATCAGGGGCATCCTCGACAAGGGTGAGTGTGGGCCAAGCGAAATAAGTTCAATTATTGAACACTTAGTCCAACTTATAAATGATGTCCAAAAGAATTTAGCATTGCCATCCCAGCATTGAAATAATTATGTGAAATTCAAATTAGTTTATCCTAATTCGCATGTCTAAAGTCGCTTTAAAGCCTCTGCAAAAGTCTTCAAAAATCGGTACACTGCTCCTGAGCAGGTTCAAAATTAGTTTTATTTTGATTACATTAAAAATGATTATCCATCATTATTATTGAGGTTTATTAACGTTCCGTATTTACCTTATTCCTGAACTGGTCGAAAATTTACCTTTCACTGCGTTGCATACTTTTGATTAAAGTAGAAGTCCGGGTATTTTGGCTAGTTATACCCGTTACTCGTAGAGTAAAAGGGTATATTGTATTCGTGCAAAAGTATGTAACAGGTAGAAGGAAGCGTTTCCGACCCTATAAAGTATATATATTCTTGATCAGGGTCACTAGCCGAGTCGATATAGCCATGTCCGTCTGTCCGTCTGTCCGTCTGTCTGTCCGTCTGTCTGTCTGTCTGTCCGTATGCACGCTGAGATCTCGGAAACTATAAAAGCTAGAAGATTGGCATTTTGCATGCAGATTCTAGGAGTTCCTACGCAGCGCAAGTTTGTTTCAAAAAGGTGCCACGCCCCCTTTAACGCCCACAATCGCTTATATACGATTTTAAAAATTTAAATATTTCGGAAAAGTAAAAATGCAGTTTTATTGTGTTTATCAATACCTATCGAAATGTAGAAGAAATTTTTCAAATCGGACCATTTTCAAATCGGACCATTGCGTGATCAAAGTTTCTATCTCCATCTCCCTCGCACTCCCTTTACCTGAGTAACGGGTATCTGATAGTCGGGGCACCCGACTATAGCGTTCTCTCTTGTTTTCATCATACAAATTTTCGTAAATCGACCCAAAAAACTCAAACCAAGTTGAAAACATAGATTTGTAAAGCAATAAACCGCGCTTATAAAGTATACTTGAAATCGGATGTCTGTATGAAAAGTTATGGACTTAGAACTTCTAAGTTAGAAGTGCAGGCTTTTGACCACCTTTTAGCAAAGCTAAATAAACAAAAAACAAGAAAGGAAAGCTAACTTCGGGCGGAGCCGAAGTTGATATACCCTTGCAGAATATTCTATAAATTATATTCTCCAAAATTATTCATATGATGCATTCTTAATACTCATAAAAAGTCCCAACTTCCTAACTTTAAAAACACCAAAGTTATGGCTTTTCCGATCGTTCAGTTATATGGCAGCTATATGATATAGTGGCCCGATCCGGCTCGTTCCGACTTATATACTACCTGCAATAGAAAGACAACTTTTGGGAAAGTTTCAACCAGATAGCTTTAAAACTGAGGGACTAGTTTGCGTAGAAACGGACGGACAGACGGACAGACGGACGGACAGACGGACGGACAGACGGACAGACGGACAGACGGACATGGCTAGATCGACTCTCCTGGTGATGCTGATCAAGAATATATATACTTTATAGGGTCGGAAATGTCTCCTTCACTGCGTTGCAAACTTTTGACTGAAATTATAATACCCTCTGCAAGGGTATAACAAGAAAGGAAAGCTAACTTCTGGCGGAGCCGAAGTTGATATACCCTTGCAGAATACTCTGTAAATTATATTCTCCAAAATTATTCATATTCTTAATACTCATAAAAAATCCCAACTTCCTAACTTTAAAAACACCAAAGTTATGGCATTTCCAATTGTTCAGTTATATGGCAGCTATAGGATATAGTCGGCCGATCCTTATGAAATTTGGTAGGTCGGATTAGTTGGCCAATAATAAAACCCATAGGAAATCCCAGCTTCCTAACTTTACAAACACCAAAGTTATGGCATTTCCGATCAATCAGTTATATGGCAGCTTTCCGACATATATACTGACTGCAAAGGAAAGAAGGGTGTGTGCAAAGTTTCAATTTGATATCTTTAAAACTGAGAGACTAGTTTGCGTAGAAACAGACAGACGGACAGACGGACATGGCTATATCAACTCAGGAGGTGATTCTGATCAAGAATATATATACTGTATAGGGTCGGAGATGTCTCCTTCACTGCGTTGCACACTTTTGACCAAAATTATAATACAAGGGTATAAAAATGGACACATACCAAGTTGAAAATGCAGATTTTTAGAGTATTACACCACAAGCAAAATCATGGAGGTTATACATAAAATAGTTAACCTGTATTCTTTTTTCCCTGATAAAAGGTATGAATTGAGGGACTATGGAAGGTTTTTTTAATGTAATATTTTTGTCTGGCCCAATTAGAAATTAGTGTGTGGCCGGATGCACGGGGAATCGTGGAGACGGAGAACCAGAGCGACCAAATGCTCAGTTTGACCTACACCCGCTGCTTCGGTCTGGCGGGGATCTTCGCGGCCATCAAACCCTTCGTGGGCATCGTGATCTCCCTGATCCGCGGCGACGAGATCCATCTGGAGCTGCCCCACAACGGGGTGTATCCGTATGACCTCCAGGTGGTCGTGTGGTACGTGCCCACCTATCTGTGGAACGTGATGGCCAGCTATAGTGCAGTAAGTGCTCTGTATTTGTGCTTTAATAATATAAAATATTAAATAAGATATACATTACACTCAAGTCTAGCACTTGTATTTAATAAAACTATAAGACCTAGAATAAGGTTTTGTCTTTAATTTTCTTTCTCTTATGTGCTTATTTGTATCATTTAGTTTGTATCAGTACCAATTCGGAATACTTCTTAAGAATTCAAATTTTGTATATTCTCTTTTCTTAAGTTTTGGAATTCATAATTCATTCTTGGAATAATACTTAAGAATTCAAATTTTAACACATTTTTTTTTAATTCGTTGAAGCCTACATACCCAAAAAATAAAAAGCTTTAAACATGTTTAAGTTTTTAGGTATAGTATATTCAATTTTTAAGTCATGTCAAACTAAATTTTAAGGCATTCTTTTATCGTTTTCTGCTATTAATTAAATATGTTTGTCATTAATCGTTCATATGATAAACTTCGCCACAATAATTTTAGAGCTTTTAATAGTACACAATAATAGTGAATACAAAATCATATAAAGGTGTTCATTGTTTGTACGTTAGACTGGAGTAGGAGTATAGTGGTTTAAAATATAAGGAATTGAGGGTTTCTTCAACCTGGTAACTATACTAATGTACACCTCTCCGATTTGCGACCAGGTGACCATGGCGCTCTGCGTGGACACGCTGCTCTTCTTCTTCACGTACAACGTGTGCGCCATCTTCAAGATCGCCAAGCACCGGATGATCCACCTGCGGGCGGGGGGCGGAAGGGAGGAGCTGGAGGGCCTGGTCCAGGTGCTGCTGCTCCACCAGAAGGGCCTCCAGATCGCCGAGAACATCGCGGACAAGTACCGCCCGCTGATCTTCCTGCAGTTCTTCCTGTCGGCCCTGCAGATCTGCTTCATTGGATTCCAGGTGGCGGACCTGTTCCCCAATCCGCAGAGCCTCTACTTCATCGCCTTCGTGGGCTCGCTGCTCATCGCGCTGTTCATCTACTCGAAGTGCGGCGAGAACATCAAGAGCGCCAGCCTGGACTTCGGGGACGGGCTCTACGAGAGCAACTGGACGGACTTCTCGCCGCCCACCAAGCGCGCCCTCCTCATCGCCGCCATGCGCGCCCAACGACCTTGTCAGATGAAGGGCTACTTCTTCGAGGCCAGCATGGCCACCTTCTCGGCGGTGAGTGGGGTGGAGTAGGTGGTGGAGCAGTGCCACGCGCACACTCAGAAAAAATAAACCATGTAATTCACGCTTTAATCCAGCATTCGGTTTCAAAAGGGAGTACCCTTTCGGTATGATTTTCCAAACCATAAATATTATGTTTCATTCTTCCTGAGTTTCATCATCTTCGTGCTTGGTACGAACTTAATTCCCATTTATAATTACTCCTGCGAAAATACTTAAAATGTAAAGTTAAAAAATGAAGACATTATTGGATCTTACCACTTTTTTTTCTGAGTGTACACTCGACAAAGATGGACACTTTTTTGTGATTATAATATAACATATAATATGATATTTTTAATGACTTATATTGAAATGGTTCATTAAATATATATAGGTATAAAATATAATTTAATTTTCACGTGATATAGAATCTGTGTAGACGAATTTGGATTGAACTCAAATTAAAAAAATATTTGATATATAAATACTGTTCCCTATCGTCAGTATCATATTTTCTTTCATGATATAAAGAAAAGCTTGCTAATTAAGATTTAGACCTGAGCAAATCGTTAAAAACTTATACAATTGTTTTCTGTGTACGTCTGTCATTTGTCTTACCATTGCAGATTGTCCGCTCCGCCATGTCTTACATCATGATGCTGCGCTCCTTCAATGCCTAAAAGAAAAATAACCGGGGAAAAAAGGAAAACACAGGAGACAGTATTGTAGGCCAGTGTGCCTGGTGACACAGCAGTCTTAGAAAAGCACAGCTGAAACGGATTGATGTTATCAAGAGTACATTGACGAAAATCATTTTACTTACAAAATGTTAGCGTAAATTTAAATCAAAAGAATTTAGCAATTAAAAAATATTCAATTACTAAAAAAAAACCATTTACTGCAAATAACCCAAACTTAACATTTATAAGCACCTTAATGATATGTTTTATAAAATGCTATAAACTTCTTACGCTCTTTTCATGATTTATTTAATCTTCATTTTGCTTATTATTTAAAATCAGTAATATTACCTCTTATAAAATTTAATAAATAATCTTTATTTAAATAAATGGAAAAAGTTTAATTAATTGCAAACAGCTGGGTTGATTTGTTGAAATTCTTGTCTAGTTGTTTTTAATTTTCAAAAAAATGTTTGTGCCAGAATAATTATTTCAATATGTTGTTAAATGTACAAAAAGAGCACGGGGTCCAATTTCGAGATAAAAACCAAGCCACAATGTACACAAGAATGTAAGGAATAATTTCGGATAAATTTGTTTTCAATTCACTACCAATTATACAGACCTAAGGGCCATGTATCAGTTTTCTATTTGTGTCTGCTTATCTTCGGTTGTGTTGAGCTTTGCTGACCCAATTTGTTTGTAGTTTATACGGAGCCAAGCCATCTAGGAGAAAACCGAGAAGGAAAAAGTTGGGATAAAGGCAGGACCAGACGTCATACCAACCAACCACCGAGACCCACAGCATCCAACTTTTCAACTTGAGCTATTTTTTGCTGGTTCCTAAGAAAAGGCCAGGTGCTTGGGGGCCGAAGGAAAATCGGACAGATTGCAAGCGGTATCGGTGAACAAACTAGTCGAATCTTTTCGCGATTTCTGCCAGTCGCACTTGCTCCTTCACCCACCAGCTATCAGCCATATTCCATGGACGTAACGATTTGCTGTTCGAACCGTGATTGATGATGGGCGAATATTGAGGTGGATTCCGGCGGACCGAGGAGGTAAATTTCTGCTGCATGCAAAAGTCTTAAGTATACGCAACACTGAGCTGCGTTATTGGATACTCCGGCGCCCAGCAACATTCGCCGCATTTCACGCCCGATGCACCCTAATTGCCAACTGTTTCCCGCTCCTCGCCCTTCATTACGTATACGCCGTGGGTCCACGGCATTTACGGCTCATCATGCTGCAAATTATGGGCGAGTGTAATGGATTGGTTAGCATTTCAAGCTTAAAGTGCCTACTTAATTATACAGTTTTTTCTTAAGTCTAGGAAGATATTATTTAATTACGAAACAAGATAATTTTAAGTTTGGCTTTTAGTATTTAGCAATTGCGTAATCATCCATATTGTTGAAATTAATATAATATACAAAATGAAATTATATGTGTGGTATTAACTTAATTGGAATGTTCTAATTGCATTTTCACCACATCTTTTACATGCTGTATTTAACAACATAATCAAATATTATGTTGTTATTTACTTGCACAAAATTCGCTTTAATAATTTAAACAGGAGCGAATAACTTATTTAAACAATAGTGTTAAGTCATGCATGTGCATTTTCCAATCCAGATGTTAATGTTTTGATGGCTGTTGTTTTCAAACAATATCAGGTTTTCCCCCATGATTATAAAAACTTTATTTCTAATCAAAGGCATAAAGCGTAGTATCCGTTACATTACGGGCTAAATCAGAGTGAATCAATGAAAGCCCAACTAAATGAGCACCGAGAAGGCCAAAGTCAAAGCGTTCTTTCTGGTTTCCGATTGAATTTCTCTGGGGCCTTGTGCTTCTAATTTCATTCCCCTCACCTAAGGTCATCGCAGTGCCCTCCGCCCACTGGCCATAAACAGTTCTTGATTTACATTGCCAAAATTGAATTTATTTATCTCCCTCTCGTCCATCTCCCTTGCTGAAGTCCTGTAAGTCCTGATTTGGTAACAACAGCCAGGAAGATTGGCGGGGGAGCAACTGGAACAGAAACAAAATAAACGGAATTGAAATGTCCCTGGACCTGGTCATGATTTATTGCATTGCATAGCGACGGGATGTGTTGTAAACTTTTTGTGCCAGCCAAAGGCAACCTCATACCCGAAACAAATAAAATATTATTTGAAATATGTGTTGTGCGAACCCCATGATTGAGCATAAATAAAGTGTAAGCTAGCACAAACAGAGCGTATGAAAAATACAAAAGGGGGAGGGAAACCATTTGTTTTGACAACTTTGGGCTCGTGTGAGCCAACAAAAGGGGTTCCAACTGGCAGGAGTTCTGAACTACCGGCGATTTAATTAGCTGTGAATCACAACATTCCTTTCACCTCTCATCACAGGGCCAAAAACAAATGCTCTTTATGTCCAGCTGCTCCTCTAATTGTGCAGTCCTATTGTCCTGCCGCTTTTGACTTTGAATGGCGCTGCATATCACGGGAAACCATTTAATTAAGTCTACCTGTGCTCCCTAAATTATAAAATTCCATTTTGTCTCTCTTCCGGTTAAATGCTTTTTTCTTTTTTTCAAAAGAACTTCAAAAAGAAGTTGGTAAGCCAAAGTTTTTCGGTAGTTGTTTTTCAAAACTATGCATACTGCGATGAAAGGAATGCCATTCTGAAAATAAGAGCAAAATATACCGAATTTATACTTATAGCCATGAAAAAATGAAATCTTATTGTGGTAATGAATATTTCTTTGAATAAGTGCTAAAATTAAGCCATCCATTCATGCTTAAAAAGAGTTGAGGCGTTGTATGGATATTGATAAAAGCGACTAATATTATTATTTGTAACGATAATCCAATTGGCGGCATTCATTTACATTGATGCGGATTATGGAAAGCACGTATTTCACTGACGGAACCTGATTTTCAACAATGCAAAGTGCAACGAATTTCGTGAGGACAGAAAAGTTTGTCCAATAAACACGGCGGAGTTCGTTGATTTGTGCATTAAGTTAATTTGTATACCCTTGCAGAGGCTATTATAATTTCAGTCAAAAGTTCGCAGCGCAGTGAACTTATAAATTATATATATAAATATATCTTGATCAACAACTTTATACTAGTCGATATGTTTGTCAGTTTTTCAAAGAAGTCTCTCAGTTTTAAAGTTACCTTTCCAAAAGTCTTCTTTATTTGCAGCTAGTATATGAGTTGGATCGGGACAGATCGGACGACTATATCATATATGTAAAAAAGTATTTTTAAAAAAGTATAACTTTGTTGTTCTTAAACATATACGCACATATTTTATGATAAAGCAAGTTCTTTTTATTTTAGAAATACGAATTTAATTTTATAACAAGAAAGGAAAGCTAACTTCGGGCGGAGCCGAAGTTGATATACCCTTGCAGAATACTCTGTAAATTATATTCTCCAAAATTATTCATATGATGCATTCTTAATACTCATAAAAATCCGAACTTCCTAACTTTAACAACAACAAAGTTATGGCATTTCCAATCGTTCAGTTATATGGCAGCTATAGGATATAGTCGGCCGATCCTTATGAAATTTGATAGGTCGGATTGATTGGCCAAAAATAAAATCCATAGAAAATCCCAACTTCCTAACTTTACAAACACCAAAGTTATGGCATTTCCGATCAATCAGTTATATGGCAGCTATAGGATATAGTCGGCCGATCCTTATGAAATTTGGTAGGTCGGATTGATTGGCCAAAAATAAAATCCATAGAAAATCCCAACTTCCTAACTTAACAAACACCAAAGTTATGGCATTTCCGATCAATCAGTTATATGGCAGCTATAGGATATAGTCGGCCGATCCTTATGAAATTTGGTGGGTCGGATTGATTGGCCAAATATAAAACCCATAGAAAATCCCAACTTTCTAACTTTACAAACACCAAAGTTATGGCATTTCCGATTAATCAGTTATATGGCAGCTATAGGATATAGTCGGCCGATCCTTATGAAATTTGGTAGGTCGGATTGATTGGCCAAATATAAAACCCATAGAAAATCCCAACTTCCTAACTTTACAAACACGCAAGTTATGGCATTTCCGATCAATCAGTTATATGGCAGCTATAGGATATAGTCGGCCGATCCCGGCCGTTCCGACTTATATACTGCGTGCAAAGGAAAGAAGGGTGTGTGCAAAGTTTCAATCCGATAGCTTTAAAACTGAGAGACTAGTTTGCGTAAAAAAAAAAAAAAAGGGGACGGGGGACAGAGGGACAGGGGGACAGAGGGACAGACGGACAGACGGACAGACGGACATGGCTATATCAACTCAGGAGGTGATCCTGATCAAGAATATATATACTTTATAGGGTCGGAGATGTCTCCTTCACTGCGTTGCACACTTTTGACCAAAATTATAATACCCTCTGCAAGGGTATAAAAATCGAACGGCTTTTTCATATGGCTGTTATTAAAAAAATTGAATACAAATCGATAATTCTAGTCGTTTTTTAAAATAATTTATTTTTCTTATAGTTGCAAGGGTATATAAACATCAACCTGTGAAATTGCAGCTCCCTTTCTTGTTATTAAAAAACTTTTCACGTTACTGATGCATTTTGTTTGTGTTTAAATCCAATTGCAACTGATGTATATTGATGTGGATATGTGAAAAGTCGCATTGCTTAATTGTGGAAAGTATACGCGCGGCAGTGAAATCTGTTTTGGCTGATGTTTCCTGCCATTTATGTGGCAATATTTTTATATTTTCTGAAAAAGATAAATTTGGGACTGGCAAATATTCCCTGAATTTTCAAAAGCATGTGCCCTGATTTTATGGCAATTTACCTTTGTCTACTAAAATCAGCTTTGACTCAGTTTTAGGCCAATTTCAGGGTGATGAGTGATCGTAATTTCCGCGGGTGCTAACTCCTCAAATGTAAGCATGTGCCAACATGTGCATGTAAAGTGCTTAGGGGTCCTTGCTGACCTGGTTGTTCTGGATGTCCTGGAAGTCCTGTGACTTCGAGCTGGCTACATAAAACGGTCACAAAGTAGCGTCGGAGCTTAACGACAGCGGCCATAATGTCGGGACAAGCTGCGCTGTCCCATGACCATCAAATCGGATCTCCGGGAGGCGGATTCGTCTAAGGTGGGATCCACAAGTCCGCCAAAAAAGAGTAATAGAACCATCAAAGTTTATACGCTTTATGTTTTCACTTTTAACGTTTTCTGGGCCAAGCTGCTGGCCCATTGTCATTGATGATGATTTATGATTGCCCGACTGCAGGTTGCCAGAAAATATTTATTCCTTTGCCGGAGTTTAAAGGTTGGCGGGGTTGGGGCTGAGTTATCAAGCATACGCAGCGTTGGACACCGCAGGCGGGAATCCAGTTGCATTTTTAGCCCCGCAGCAGGCGACATAGTCTAAAAGAATCCTTCTGCCGTTTGAATTGGCGAATCAAATACACAAAATAGAAACGTACTCTAAAATCGATAAGTTTCTATTGTCTAGGGTTTAGTCGTTAGTCGTCATATTTTTTATTAAGAGATGAATGGTCCAAAAAATGTCCACATATTTATGTATTTATTTACACAACTGTAAGCTTAGTGTTATAAACTAAAGTTACTGCGAGGGTTAGCGGCCATAGCTTATATGGCTTTCGGCCGACTTTCTTTAAATTATATTTTGCATTGTTATAAGATTTATTTATTTGCTTATTTAGGGTTTATGAATCTTTTAGGTTTTACAATGCTGTGTTAAGAGTGTAATTGTGTTTCGTTTAATTCATAAGCTTTTGTTTAATATATAACTAATAATGTGTGATTACAAATGAAAAGGTAGACTTAGTTCTTTAGTTCTTTTTATGAATTCAATACGTTTTAACACAATAATGGAGTTTGGGTTGAAAAGGATGTTGCGCTAATTTAATAAAACTTATAGTGTATTTATACTACTCAAGATATACAAGTATTTTTCATGTTTAAATATATAGAAATTACCACCCGTCAACATTTTGTAATGTGTATTACTGCTGCACTGACTAACATTTTTGCAATGTTTGTCAACATTTGTCCAACATAATTTTTAAACTTAAACTTTTCCTCTAATTTTTTTGTGTGAAGGACGTTTCAATAAAATACTGTATTTTAATAAAGTAAAGATATATAAGCACAGCTTCCAGTCACCACAGGACACTTAGGAATTGCTTTCGAGGGGTCAGACATCTGCGCTTTGTTAATATCCCGCAGTCATACTGTTTTGTAATCGTTGCTTTCAAGTAAAATTAATTAGGGAACCTAGGGAACGCATACAAATTTCAGTTGGATTTTATTTTTTAGGATTTTTGGCACAATGATTAAGTTTTTTACGTTTTTTTGTTGGAAATAGGCACAGACCCTAAACACAGACTGTTTTGTGCAGTTGGTCACCTAAAATATCAATCCCAATCCCTTTCCAAACATTTTAATTCTAGGCCAATTTGCGGATTTGTTAACTAATAAAAAATGTCAGCTGTGAATGCCAATTGATTTTGAATTTAATAACGAGTTTAACGAGGTATAACATTTCAAGTTTAAATAGTTTTTTTCAAGGATTTGGATTTTCAAAAAAAAACCGAAATATAAGTGTTTTTTAGATATCTAATTGTATGAAATTATATTCAAAGTTATGTACGAAGTTTATTCAATTTTTAGCTCTTATTTACTTTAATTTCAATTGTGTTTTTGTTGTCGTTAAAACAAAAGGAAATTTTTATTGGTTTTCACACGGAAAGTTCCAGTTTCTGTCTTAATTGATGAACAACTATTCATTTAAGGTTATAAGGCGTTTTAATTTCAAAGGATTCTTTTTTAATTCCGTAATATAAGCCTTCAATTCAAAGTACCTGACAATCGGAAGATGCGTAAACAATGTTTTGGAGGATTTTGGATTTAGCACACCTAAGTCTATTAGAAAGTATACCTTCATTTATGTTATAAATATTGGTTTTTATTATTATTATATTTGTTCTAGTTTATTATATTATTTATTATTATACATTTTCTTCGAACCCCAACAAAGATGACAAGCTCAATAAGTAATGCACAGTATAAACTAATGCTTTAAGAAATGTTTTTTTGTTCACAAAATAAAATCTGATCAGTAGTATAGATTTAATTTTTTGAAAAAAAAATCATAAATTACCAAAACGTTTCGAACAGAAACTCAATATAAAGGTGGTTTTGTCCGAAATTGTTGAAGAAATTCAAACGGAAACTATCCGAAATTGTCGTTCCCTTTTCCTGCTTCCCACTGGTCGCCGAGAGCTTTTCGGAAAAAGCTTTCGGAGGACAGTAACAGGTCCGCCTGTTACGGCCAAGACCGTTAACAGCCCAGTTAACAGAGAAGCAACAGTGCGCTGGCCGATTTAAAATAACGTGTCCTCTGACAAGACGACTCAGTTCCTGTTCAGCCATAGTCGGTTACGTTTGCCGTGAACCGAGCCCCAGAAAAGTGTCGAGGAAGTGTGGAGCAGTATCAGTAGCCGTATCAGAGTCAGAGTCAGAATCAGAATCAGATCTCAAGTCTGAGGCACAATCGCCACCCAATCGAACGCATCAAGGCAACTCAAATTCAAAACCAAATTCAAAATCAAAATCAAATTCAAACTCCAATTCGAAATTTAAAGCAAATTTTTCCAAATTCCCCCAACGACAGTTTTGTGCTGAAAGAAAATCTACCAAATTCAAGGTTTGAACTCTGGTTCTCCCCTCATTTTGTGTCTTTTTTTTTGTATTTTTGAAAGTGCGTGCGTGTTATGAAAAGTTTGTTTGAGGGGTTTTCTTTTTGAACGGAACGAGAAAAAAAAAACAAAATACAAAATACAAATAAGTAACAACAAAGTAACAAAGCTGAGCGGGAAAGTCGGAGGTCAGGTATCATTGGGCCCCCTGTCCAGCCAGCTATTATAAGCCATCGCTTTTTGTGCTAGCCTCGGCTCTTTCGAGCTGAACCCAGTTTATGCAGACCTATGCAGAAATACTTTTTATTTCATTTCAGTTCGCTTTCCCTTCCGCTTTTGGGTCGTCTTTTTTCGGGGTAATTTTCCGTGCCTTTTCATATTTGATGAGGACGTGTTGGCGGACCCAAGGGGTGTCACCTATATATGCTCCTAAAACAGAAGCTGCTTCTCCTTCTTGGCACCACGGGCGGCACAACCCCCTCCCAAACATCCCATTTTATACTTTATTTATCTGTCCGCTCCGCCCAGTCAGCCATCCGACCGTGGCCTTTTGTTATGCATGGCCGTGTGAATCATTCATATGCAAATGCTGTGAAAATTCTCATTTATGTTTCGAGGAATCCCGCAGAAGCCACTAGAATGTGTCCGTAAACGGATGTTTCCCGTGGCCGAAGTCGTTTCCACAGTCCTGTGCAAGTCCTGCGGCTTTTAATTCCAGGCGAAGGGACTCCAATTGAGATGACCCCGGGCGAAGCAGAAGCATGGCCAACGATCATTGGGCAAAGTGTTCTGGGCCATGCCGCATTTTAGTGTCGATTAAGTGCTGCCTACTTATCGGCTCCCGTCGCCGATGGCTCTGCCTTGTTTGTATCGGCCAATTACGCCGGCGAGCAGTTCATTTGCCACCATGACTAACCGCTTTCCGCCCTAATCTAATCGCCATTCCCCGCCCCGAATCCCCGAACGATTCCCAATCGTAAGTGCATGATTCGAGATTTGCGGCTCTGGGCGGTCCAGGTGTGCCATTTAAGTGGTTTTAATCGGTACTTGTTGGGTATACACATCAGTTGCAATGTGTATAATATTTATTAAAATACGAAAATTAAACTATCTAACTACCGATTACAAAACAAGCATTGGCCAAATAGTAACTTTTTTAGCTTAAAATTGGAAGGGAAGGAAGTGTTTTAAATAAACAAGTATTCTAGAGTCGGAAGTGCGACTATGGAGTTCCCACTTGTTTTAAATTTACCTGCATTGGTCTGGTCGTCCGTTGTAAAAATGTGGGGGCGTTAATCTGCCCTGAGTGATCAATTGTCGGTTGCCGATTGTAGTGTTGACGCATTAAGCCACTTGTCCATCATCCACACCGGACCTTAGTCCTTTCACAGCTCCACCATCACGGTTGTATGTTTGTTGAGAGCAGCAACGAAAAACTAGGGTAAAATCAGGGAAACATCTCTGGCTTGATGTCCTCCAAACTGTTTATTTATCACAAGAAAAAACCTAGGCAAAAATTAGATGTAGAGCTTTATTTTCGTATGTTAACCCGACTTTAAAAATTATATTTAAAGCCAATAGAAAACCTAAATGGGGCCTATTAGTAAAAACAAATCCATAAAGTGTCGAAAGTCCGATGAATAATTGACTTGGTCTCTTGATTTCCTCATCACATTATAAATTAAAACTAAGTTTAATTTTCACAAGAGCCATGCAATGGAAACCGATTGAAAATTACTGAATTCCAGGCTGAGTTTCTGAGTTTTACAAAGGGCTATTCCATCAAGACAGACATTTCAAAGGGTTTTCTGCAGCCTGACAGCCTGGGTTGAATGTATCTAACGACTTGCTTACCCGAAGCGTTAAAAAGTTATTATAGTCTTCCCTCCCCGCTCCCCCTCTGTATAAATTCAGAATTCAAAGCCACGGAAGAAGAAGTTATTTTTTTTTTTAATATTGCGGCTAATTTAGTCCGGCCGTCAGACCAACAAAAGACAGAGGAAAGCGAGGAAGTGGGGCTAGTAATAAGAAAGTCCGGGAGTTGGGGACAGGAGGCCTTCCACCGGCCACGGCAATTAATTTACATTAATTTCCCTTTGTTCGCATGGCATTGTTTTCGTTGTTTCGTTTTCTTTTCTTTTATTTTCTTCTGTTTTGTTTTGCCTGGGTACCTGTCGCAGCAGCGATTTTATTAAAAAACAATTACAACACTTGGGCATCTGCTCTGTACCGTTTCATCGCGACGTGGAAATCCAAATCAGTAGCAGGACCAGGACCAGACCGTGACAAGTGAAAGGATGTCGGACAAGCAGCAAAAGGAGCAGGAGAAGGAGCCGGAGCAGGATTGCAAGCTGGAGGAGAAGGAGGAGGAGGAGCAGCAGGAGGAGCTGGAGCAGCAGGTGCCCGGAAGCGGCAATGACAGCTGCGGATCTGGACCGGAACCGGAACCGGAAGTGGAACCGGAAGTGGAAGTGCAGGTAGTCCAGGGAGTGGCAATGGCAGTTGCAGAACCAAAACCAGAGCCATCGGGATCGGCATCCGGATCGGAAGCACCTGCTCCAACCAATCCAAATCCAAATCCGGAGCTGGAGCGCGACAGGGACAGGGACTCGCACGGCGACAGGTGAGTCAAGCGGATTCCAGCCCATCCACGCACCCAGTGCGACCTTGTCAATATCCATTAGCTAATTGGGCATGCGATGTGAGGGAGGGCCCATGTAGACGGGCCCAAAAGTGAACCCAACTGTCCCAAATTAAATCAACCTAATTACAATATTGTAGCATGCGCATATAATTATATTATCCACCTTTTATGCATATTATATCAGTATTTCATCTGCATAATAACCAACTGTTGCCATTGCTTAGTACTAACATTTTAAAGAGTTTCATCCCCCATCATCGCCCATCGCAAGGTAAACTGAACTAATGTGTAAAGTTAAGTCCAACATTATCATAAAAATCATTGTTACTTTTACTCATAAGTTTATTATATAGAACTTATTGTATAAAACGAAGTGTATATAATATCGCACGTAAAATGTATACAAATTTCAAGTTGAAACATAAGATATAAAGAATATTTAATTAACTCAAAGTGAAGTCAATATTTTAAATAGCAAGTGCTCGACCTCCAAGCCTATTTAAAACCCAGCCACATAACAAAATTACACAACTCTTTCTGATCTGATGTCATTTTCATTAAGTGCACCCCCTCTTCGGATCCTAAGCCTTATCCCAAACCCAATCCCAATCCCAATCCCATACGCATACCCATTTCCATGCCCATTCCCAATTACCTGGGCCAAAAACCTACGTTGAATGCGACGTACACTGGGTTAACACATTTTGCGGCTGGTGGGGGATTCCAATTAGGGAAGCTTTATAAATAGACAGCAGCCACTCCCCAATTGGACCTTAAAGCGCAAAGTGAACGAAATCTATTCAGAATTCTCCATGGGGCAGGGATGAGAAGGACATCCCCAATTCCACAGGTGCTCCGAACCCTTTTCATTCCCTTTCATTTGGGTAATATTTTTCCTGTCGGCATATTTTTAGGTAATACTTTCCTAAGAGACATCTATTTGTTTGTTTATATAAGATGCGCTCTCCGTCAAATGAAAAATTCTATTATTATGAACCATGTATTGTCAACAATTAGTTAGTTCGTCTGAGAGCTTTTGAGGTGTCTATTTCAGTTCATGGATGAAATGAACGGATCTTATCTCTATTGCCATTAGAACTCCCTGATTGTGCGGTTGCCCTCCATCTCTTATCTGTCCTATCGCAATGTAATTTACGGCCGGATCAACATAAATTTATTTCTAAAGCATACCTCATGGCCAAATCAAAAGCTACCAACTTGAATTGATTCGGCAACAATCTATTTATTTAATAAATTCTGGATAACACTTTCATTAGGACAACAAAATTGAAGTTGAAACTCTTTATTTCGACACTTAACTATCAACATTGAAGTGCGCTTAATGGAATTCGAAAGAATTCTTGGTAAAACTTATTGATTTTACTTGCTGCAATGCATAAAAGAAAAATAAATTATTAAAATTTGTAACAAGTTATTTAATAGTTGGGTATATCTTTATATTATTGTAAAGCAATGTATACGAATTGTTTACGATACCCATATTTCCTCTAATAATGCATCTTTAACTTTTAGATCTGACCAATTTAGTTTATTTTTTTTTATTTAAAGCTATAGTCTATCAAAAATGTACTTTCGTTACAATACAGATAACACTACTATGTTTAAGTTTTTTGTATCACTTTATTAAGTGCAAAAGCAAAATCGTATTTAATTTAAGTTTGCATCTAACCCAATCAAGTTCAATGTCTGGGTGTATTTCTGTGTTATTTGGGTCAATTAATAGGGAAAATCCTATTTGAAGTTGAACTTTTGGCGAGAGACCTTCTCCACAAAGTTTTTGACTCGTTTTCCACGGTGTTTTCCCCCTCAAAACCTCTGTAGTCCTGGCACTCCGTTCTGCCTTCCGGTTGAGTTCCCTCCAGCTGGCTCCTTCGACCTCCTCCCCCTTTTATTTCCGGAATGCCCCGCCTTGGGGTCCTCATCCTCATTCCCATCGTTATCCTCATCCTCATCCCCGTCATCGCGTCGCACTCAATCATTGCTCCTTTCCAAACATTCAGCGCTGCAATTGACACTTTGTGGCCCGTTCAGTTTGATATTTTTTTTTAATTAAATACCTAATTGGTGGGATATCAAACCGATGGAGCGTTGTCATTCGGGGCAGAGGTGGGTGTGGGGGAGGGGGTGGGAGGTTGTGCCAGGTGACAGCAAGGAGGAGCCGGTGCCCCGAACGGGTTGGCCATCCTCGAGGAGGGCGGATCCCGGCCAAGAGTCACGGCTTTGTTGACTTTGTGCCCGTCAATTGTTCGGCTGCGAACGGGAGTGCAAACAAGCGGATAGTGAGGGGATGCGGGGATAGTCAACAAGGCGGCATTGTCATGGCACATCCTGCCCCCTCCTCCCCTTCCCCCCACCGGGATTTGACAGCATAATTAACAACTCTCCAACAGACTTTTGTCCACTAACCCCTTAACTCCCCTTCCGGCGATTTTTCAGGCCAAATCCCACGATTTATTGCTGCCCGAGCATTAACAATATCTTTAAGTCAGCTCGGATTGGGTGGGACTGGGGATTGGGGATTGGGGATCGGGACTGGGAAATGGAAATGGAAAGGGAAAGGGATGCATTCGGAATTGACAATGAGCCCTTGGTTCTTGGACCTGGCACGTGATTTGGCTGTCAGATGAGACAACTGGGATTCCATGTTTCCTACTCGCATTGTCATTGCCATTCAGCCCTGCCAAATTGTTAATGGAAATTATTAGTTATTAGCTGCTTTGCATATTTTGATGAATCCGGTCTCCTGCATTCCCACAAACTTTTTGCTAACATTGAAACAAGAACGAACTGTATTTGGTTTTCTCAAAGTTGACTAATTTGTATCTTTTTGCTAAGCAAGCTAATATGTTGCTGTTAAGGCAGCTGAGATTTGCCTAAGCGTTAAGTTAAAAAGGGTCAATTTCACCAATAAAACCAAAAGAAAACAACATACCTTAACAGAAGATTTTGTTTAAATAAATCTACACCTTTTTAAAATATTTATTTTTATGAATTTAAGCTTAATCAGCCATCATCCTATACAAAATGTCCAGTTTATTCATGAAGATTTTTTAAAAATAAATCAACGCCTTTTTCAAATATTTATTTTTATAAATATATGCTTAATGCATGGATGGCTGCATCATCCTATACAAAATGTTTAGTAGTCCAGTTTATTCATGAAGATCTCAAATGAAGGCAGTGCACTTGCTCGCGAGAATTGCCAAGCGGATGAGCACACATTTTTACCTGTCCAAATGGGATGAAAGGGGGATTCTCAGGCAGTGAGCTTGGCACTTTATCTCCAGCCTGCAGTAAATATCCGAGCTGGATCCAATGGATCACTGATAAAATATTTGTATGAAGTCGTGAAAGGCAGTCGACTTCCGTTGCCGTTTCGGCAACCCGGAAACTTCTTTCGATGGCACTTTGTATCTGTATCTGTATGTGTATCTGTATCTGCATCCTTGAATCTCGACCTCTTTGGCCATCTGCGAAATATTAACTTTTCGCAGACTGAGGGTTTTTCTTTCGCTTGGTCTGGTGGGTAAGCACCGAAATGGAATGTGCTGGCATCGAAATCGAGCAGGTATGGCAAATCTTAAGCCGTGGCTCAATGCGAAACGAGTGCGTATGGAAATCGACATCTGCTGGCAATCAACTGTTCACACAATTGAATCCGATTCGATTGACCAAACAGGAAGCTAATGTGAATGCAAAAGCGAGTGATTTCTAATCAATAGTGAGTCCCAGGAACCTGGCCATGACTATTATGGCAGCAGCTCTGGACCAGTGATTTACGGTCGCCAAATCCACTGGATGCCAGCTCTTAGCTCTCAGCTCACAACTCGCAGCTCTCTGCTTTCAGCTCCCAGCGGGCTTTGGCATTGGCATTCGGTGGAGGGCCAATCGGAGGGCCAGAACTTGACCCCACCTCGTGCCCTTGACTACTTACACTCCCGTGAGCGGACACCGCTGCCGAACAGAAACACACTGCCACAATTAAACGCACAAGGACATGGTCGTGGATGTGGATGCGTATGTGGATGTGAATGTCGATGTGAATGTGAATGTGGATGTGGATGTGAATGTGAAAGTAGTTGTGAGCGATCGGAGTGGAACGGAGCGGATTCAGTGCCACACAAAGGAACCCAAAGCTGACCTTTGACACCGTGTTTCTCGGGACAGGGTCTTGAAAATGCACTTGGATTAGTTGAGAAAATTATGCATACAGTTTTTGATATTTTGGACCGACAGTTGTCTACAATCCCTATTATAACTTCTTATAAAAATAGCTATTTAATAATACGTTCATTTTAAGCAAGTTCATGAGTATTGAAAAAAAAAATTGGACTTTGCTATGAACATTTTCTTTCCAAACAAACAAAGCTAAGCCTTAATTTTCCCGAAATATTTTATTTCTTTTTAAGGTGTATAGAAAACAAATCACTGACGAAGAATAAATATAAGTTATTGAGTTATATCAACTCCTCTTTCAAATTCTTCAAAGACAAAAAAAGTGTTGAATATATTTTCTTTCGATTAACTTAAATCAAAATATCCTCCAAAAAAAAGTAAAAGAGAATGTATTTGATTTGTGTTTAAACAATGAAATCAAAGGAAAAATCCCAATGCCGAGTAGCCATATGAATAATATATGTTATTTTTTATACGAATTACTTGTGAAACATGACAAGACGCTAATAACCTGAACAGAACTAGTTCTGCGTGTATACACTAGCAACTCAGAGGCGGAAGAAGCAATTGGCCAAAATGGTGTTTGAAGTAAAACCCAGAAACGTGACGGGATTCACAAACGGCGTTGAACGCATGCCGGAATACCACAAGGGCATCACAACCCCCCAAAGAAGGTGGCTTACTTGGGAGCACCGACAAAGACGACAAAAAGCTCGGCTGAAAAATACATTAGAGTATCGGACAGAAGAAACAGGCATTGGAATTTAAGTTAAAAACATCCCCTTTGACCAATATGTTTTCAATTTTAGTTACGAATACGTATTAAGTATACGCCACGTTGACCAGAAGTTTATTTTCGAAACAAACATAAACAATATCAACTAACAGACTAAAACGGGCTTATTTAATACGTGTATAGACGTTTATACTTCACCAAAACTTTCCTAAAAGTTGTAAGCAAATGGGAAATTTATATATACACTAGTTATAAGCTCATTATAAAAAGCAACCTTTATGCATTGGTCTAAAGTGTGTTAGCCTTCTTTATAATATATTGTTATTATACATTCATTAAGGGGAAATAAGTATTAACATATTAAATTATTGTTACTTAAACTGTCAACCTTAAGTTAAAGTACTTGGAAAAGTGTAAAGTAGTGTATTTTCCGCATTTTCGTTGGCATATTCTGCCTTTGCCATTGCCGGCATTCGGGAACAGACGTCTTTTGTCTGCGCCCCTTTTTCAGCTTTGGGCCCGGCCTATTCAACTTGGCCCGGTTTTCGGTTACCAACTGACGTCACAGCAGACAATGCAGAAACATCAGCGGCAGCATCCTGATCTCGTTGCGCTGGCTCTGAAATTATCGACTAATTACCAACTCCTTGGCCCGAAATCGCTGGCCAGGATAAAAGCCGATAAAGGCCGGTCGGAATAAACAAAGTTTATACGCGCCACATACTTGTTGGACCCTTTTTGCTTTTCGGCCTTTATTTTGGTCACCGCATCATCGATTTTTGTGTGACGACGCACTCAACCCCACACACACACACAGTCAGACACACATGCACACACATAGCACACACACACACACATGGTTGACGTTGGTAACGGTAATAAATCGCCATTGAAATTTTGTCGTTCAGCTTGTTCTTTGTCCATTTTCGCTTTATTGTCACACACTTCCCAAAACAGGTAGAATTCCCTTGCCTATCAGCTTGTAACTAAATCGCAGATAATTATTTTCAAAATACTAACTATGCTGGGGGCTCAATATTTGAACATAAATTGAAGCTCCTCTTTCAACTCTTACTTTACACCCATTTTGCTCTGCAGCTCTTTGAAAAAAAGAAATTATCAAACAAAAAAATATCAATGATGTTCATATAAAGAATCATTTAAAATGTTTAAATACTGCTTGTTAGTGAAAGATAATTTAATTTACAACTTAAAGATATGCCACTGCTTTGGGGTACATTTATTAATACATTTGTAAGTATTTTTGCATGCCGTAAAATATTTAGATTTGAGGAAAAGCTATAGATTTTCAATAGCCTGAAACGTAATATTGAATTTTTGGGCTACGATTGAAAGGGCATCAAAAAACGGTTTCACTCCAGCGAAAACGGCTGTCAATAGACAGGTGGTCGAGATATGAATGCGATTGGGGAAAAAGGAAAATGGCTTGGCTTTGCTTGTAATAATATGTTACCTGCTGCGAATCAATTAGTGTTGGCCGTGACTTTGGCCAGGCCATTTGGGCCGTGAATGTGAATCGCTGGCAATAATTGGCGTTGCTCATATTCGTGGCCCTCCTTGGAATGGAATTTCCCAGGTGAAATTCCATCCGCAGCGTGGCTCGAATTTCTCCGGTCGGAGTGTGCAACAGTTTTCGGAGTCGCACACAAAATGTATTGATTGCTATCGATTAGGCTGAATGCGTGTAGCGTGGGCGTGTGACAGTGTAGCCAGCTGGGTGAAAAATAAAAAGCGGACGAGGTTGAGCAAGGACTTGAAGGACCAACGATTGACATTTTCAAAGTCCGACGAATGGCGACGGGAAAAAGGGCAGAGCGCAAAGCGCAACAATTGTTATTTCATCCTGTTGCCGCCCAAGTCCTTGAGTCCTTGAGTCCTTGAATCCTTGAGTCCTTCAGTCCTTCAGTCCTTTCCTCGCTCCAGTCAACTGCAGCTGCTGTTTTGGTCTTGCCTTTTGTCAGTTGCTACTTGTTTTTCCGCTGGCCGCCCAGACGATTTCCATTTCCGCTTCCGATTCAGATTCAGTTTCACTTGCCCCGTGCACTTGTTTTCAACGTTGTTGCTTAATTTGTTAGCGCAGTTTGACGGGGCAAAAAAAATGCAGGTGGTTGCCTCAACCAGATGGCCAGATATGTGCTTTGGTCCCATCTCCGCTTTCTTTTCGCCCCAGGCGATAGCTGCCTGAAACATTTCACGAACCACTTAATCTCTCGATTGCCAGTTTGCATATCTGAGCTTGGACTAGTTCATCTGCATTTCTGGCAATGGCAAGTGGAAAATACAAATGGTCACGCAGCCGTGATCTCTCAGATTAAGTGAACACAAAGGAGCTGGGAAATCATTTCTGCAGTCATTTGCAGTAGAAGTAATCCCTGAATAATGACGTTTCAAATCACGCTTCTTATTCCAATGCAAGGCATAAGGAAAACGAATAGAATCTATCTCAATACGCTTTGAATATCGGGAATGAAAAGTTTTGTTTGCAATAAATCCCATTCTAATGGGGAGTTCCTGCAACATTTTGAATAGAGTGAACATGCTTTGTGGTTTCCACATGCAGAGTTTATGTACACCCGTTTGACACTTTGGTGGCCTGCAAAAAAGAGCAGTCAACCAATTTGTATCCAATTAGACCACATGTTTCCATTGTCCTTTTACTTTAGCCTTGAACTGCAAAACCTCATCAGCGATTCCCTTGCTCTTCGTATTGACAAATTTCCAAGGACATATTTTACGTGGGCAACAGCTTGGCTGTCAAACACAATTCGGATCCACTGAAACGAAGTTGCAGAAAACACACAGAGAGCAAATATGCATCCTGTTTAAGTAAATTCATTCAAAACCACAAATATTTTAATAAGCAAACCCTTATGTCCAAAACCCGGAATTATTTTTCGGTCCCATGTTCGAATGGGATATAAAATTTCCATTAAAGTGGCATTCACAGCTTAAAAATTTTATTTTTTGAGAAAAATCATATTGCTACCCCTTATGAAAAATTATTTTGACCAAAATCTGGGAAAAATCATATTTATTTTTCGGTTTATTGGTTAAAGCCCTGGGAAATAATGGCTGTGCGTTTGATGTGCCATGTGGTAGCCAGTTGGCTACAATGATCAATGGCAGTTGAATTTCACGAGCTGTTGCCGCAGCCGAAAGTTTATTAATTTGTTATCCTGTCACTTGGACGCTTTCATTGCCTTTCATTAGACCCTCCGCTCCTTCGCCCCTCCTCCCCTGCGCTCCTCCTCCCCCATCCCATCGCAATTCCAGGGACCGCAGAAATTAATTACCGGATTATAAGACAACTTCATTGGCCAATCGGGGGGCGTTTGGGCCAGGGAAGGGGGCGTGGCCGTCAAGGCGATAAGCCCATTTCAGTTCAATTTTCACCATTTTCACCATTTTCGGCAGCGGCCATTTGGTTTTGGGCTTTTATGATTAACATTTAATAAGAAAAGGTCACGCACCGAGAGGAGTTGGGAACAGGGATTGGGACTGAAATTGGCATTGGGATTGGGATTGGGATTGGTATCGTGTTTAGGATAAGGCGGAGTCAGAGTCGCGGAGAAAACTATACCAACAGCATTCCAGTCGCATCTGGGCCCGGCTAAATTAAGTGCCCAACTTAAATAACTCGAATTAAACATTAATAGCGTACTTAAAAGTTTTCCTTTTCGTTTTCGTTTTCATTTTCTTTTTCGTTTTCATCGCCGCCTTCGTGTTTCATTTATTGCTGTTGTTATTCAGTTGGCCCTTATTGGATACGATTGTTGCTGTTTGGTATTATTTTTTAAGTTTTTGGGCTCTTTGGGGCCAATTTGTTGTTAAGGCCGGGGCCAATTTCTTGATGAAATGATTTCGCTCTGAACTTTGGCGTTCGTTTTCAACCCTTCCCCGCCAAAAATCGATGGCTGGCCCATCGATAGAGGAACATCCTGGCCACTTAAGCCGGCCCTTCAATCTTAAATGGTTCATCGAGTTTCCCTTTGATTAAACAATTGATTGTATTATGCCTGCTCTATTTCTTTTATACTGCATCCATTTGATTTAATATCTCATGGCCGGTCTTGCTTATTTGCATAGCTGCTGTTGAAATGTGTATTTCAAGGAAATAACTTTAAATTATTTTGTTCTTGCTGTGAAAAGTCAAAGCCAAATAATAATACAATTTGCGAAT